TGATCAATCCTGCTTTAACACAGGGGCTGCGCTTATGGTATAGTGAACCACATTGAACCACAAAATACTCGATCACATTTTACTTTAATATTGTGTGAATCCAGTCTATATTGTTAGTTAATGGTTCAGTGTGCCCTATGAGTTGGATTGGATGAACATTCTGCACATTCTTTTCATACTGGCCATGTGAATCTGGTATGTTTTGCTTGTGAGAACTAATTATGTCCTTCCTTCTTTACTCCTTACTCTGTTATTTGTGAAAAATCACATGCTGGCATGTAAATGATGGGTGGCAGCCATTTTGTTATGCTTGGGGTAAATCTTTACCATTTTGCCCAGGAGATATAACTATAAATTACCTTGAAAGGACCTCTGGGTAAATAACTTCATGCTCCAGCACATTTAATGTCTCAATTAGCTACTAACAATGCCAATAAATTGAATGTGTCGGAAAGTAATGACTTCCGTGGCTAATTTTGATCTATATAAATAGCAAAAAAAAGTTACAAAGAAAGATCTCCAAGAAAACTGAATATCCATTTTTAGTAATAAAAACTAGATGTAGGTAACTTTTCACTTCTTACGGAATCTAGCTTAACAGCCATGTCCAATGCTCCATCAGGTATAATGTTAGTTCCTGTGTTGTTTCTTATTTAGAAAAGCACAAAAAAGTAAGAATGTGCTCCAGGCCTATATTTATGGTTGAAATTAGGTATGTGCATTTACAGTTAACTAAAGGCCTTTTTAAACGACTATGCCTCAGTATACAATCCTTAATAAAATATAAACCTATAAAATTTTAAATAATGGGGAATTTGTTTTGAAATGTGGTTTTTCTACAATGGCACCATCATAAAGAAAAAAACCAGTCTTTTTAAAAAAATTACTTTTGTTCCTTCTGTATCAATTTAATATAAATAAGATAAATGAGAGAAGATTAGTGCTAGAAAAAGTGTCACTAGCAAATTTTCTAATATTGTTATGTCATTAGTTGGACAGTTTTGACTTGTTGATTTGGATGTCAAAATGCAGATCTTTATACAAACAACACTCATATTTATTAGTGGAGAAATGGGAATGGGAGTGCATTTCCCTAGATAGCCTTTTCTGATAGGGGTGGGGGATGACTTTAAGGGGTGAGTCAGAACTGCAGGATATGAAGTATTGGATGGAACTTGGCCAAAAACTAAACTTGATTTAATTTCATTTGTTATTCATTAAAATTAAATACAGTTAATGACTACTTTTCAGTTATAGATTTAACAATTTTCTGAATCCATCATATTTTGATCCTCAAGGCTATACTCAAGACCATTGGAGCAATCTGCAGTGGTGGTCTCAGACTGTGCAACTCTAATCTAGGCTGCCCCCATTTATATTACATTTGAAGCTCACTGTATGAAGTGGTTCTGTTTGCAGTATTTACACATACAGATCTTTCTCTGAAGGGTGGGTCTGCCCTCTTTCTTAACATTCTTCTTCTTTCGCACCAAGAACCACAATCACAAGGCACAGTTAACATGGTCTTGTAGCTTCCTTTTTATATTCCTTGAATGGGTGGAGGGGTTTCTGAACATCCCTTATTTTAATGATTTTCTTTTTGAAGAAATAACTGAGAGATCCTACTACCCCAGGCTTTTAACAGCTTCTGTACATCAAAACAATGAAGTGAAGCTTTCACTTTACCTGTAAGGGAAATGCTTTCAGCATTATAAGGGATAATGTCACAACAATAACAACAAAAGTTAGTACAGTCATATATCAGAATCAAATAATAGAGAGAAATGTTTCATCCTCTTGATGTACAAAGAGTAATATATCCAAATTAGTTGTCTTGTTCCGTAATAGTGATCTGATGGTGTAACTTGGCAATTAGATAATTTTGAGATCTCTGTTCACCATAATAGTAACCTACGTTTTGGTTCGGCCAGGTAACTTTTAAAAAGTATCTATAGTAGTCTTTATGTCATGTCAGAATATGGTAGAAATATAGCAAATATGTCCTATTGCATTTCATAACCTGTCAGATCTGCCATCTTCAGCTTTGCTGGCATCCTGTCATAACTTGTTGTGGGAGGGAGGAAGGAGACAATTGGCATGTGAAGAGTAGAGATGAGCAAGGCGGGTCGGGTGTGTGTGACAGGTTTGATGGAACTCAGAGGTGTGAGAACCTCCAATCTTCAAGGACACCAAACCTGGCAAAAGAATGTGAACTGCATGCACCAAACATCCGAGCTGTTCCCGAAACACCTATACGGCATGACATTGGACAGAGACAATGGGGTGAGGGCCAGGGAGAAGGGGAAAATCTGTAATGCTTTGCATGGGAACCTTAGATCTAGCCTTGCTTTTGCTTCAACCCACTAATCCTTAGTAAAAGAACCTATCACTTCAATCAAATGGAGTTGAGGGTCTTTATTTCCTAGGGACCTAGCTGGGGTAGGTCTGACATAACCCTGGAACCGGAGATTTGCTCCATCTGCTCTTCATGGCTGAGAAGCTCCACAGCTGTGGAAGACCAAGGACTCTCTTTGGGCAGGAAAGATTACTGACTTCTTTACTCCTTTTCCACTTAGCAATGTTATTGCTATTGCTTTTACTTTTTAAAGATCTTTTATAATAGGGGCATTTGTATATCCGTATGTTGCTAGATAATCTCCTAAATCTGAATTCAGGCATCTCTTGAACTCTGAATGAAATTTAATCTAAATCACGTTATCAATATGGATGCAGTCCAAAACTGATCATAGATAAATTTGCTTACAGTTACTGCCAAGAGCTACTGATAATCTATATGGTGAAGTAAATGAATGAACTATTGAAAGTTCATTTAAAATTATGAGGCAAATGAAGATATCAGGAAAAAATGGGTATTTTGGTCACTGCTAACAAAACCCTCTCCCACTTCCCAAATTAGCACTGAGAATATACAAAGTGTTGGCAGGGAACAACATGAAAATTATCCCACCATCTAAAAAGTAGCCATCTTTCTTGTGGCCAAGTCTGCTTAGAGCAGATCCATTTCTTGAGTAAGGAACAGGGAGAAAATTGCTTTCCCTTTTGGTTTGCTCTGTGCTGTCAGTGTGATACAGAGAATGCCAAGAGATAAATTGAACTTTGAGTAGGAAACAACAGAGAAACAGTAGGAACATGTAAACAGAAGAGAATATGGGAACAGTGATTATTTCAGTTGTTTGTATTTGGATTATATTTATATTTCTTGCATTTGTACAAAACACCAAACATTAAATCAATAATACTGGCTGGGTTTTGCAGTATCACATCAAGCTGTGAATTAACCTACTATATTTTAGAACACAGACCATAGAATAACAGAGTTGGAAGGGACTTTGGAGGTCTTTTAGTCCAACCCCCTGCTTGAACAGGAGACTCTTATACCATTTCAGTCAAATAGCTATCCAGTCTCTTCTTAAAAGCCTCCAATGATGGAACTACATTATGGACCTAATGTAGCTAGCTTCTGGTTCAGACTGATGAGCAAACACAGATGGATAGTATAAGGATAAGTAACTTTAAATTTCTCGCTGCTGCTGTCCTTTATTGCAAAATATCATGTAAACCCAGAATTTAGAGTAAATAAATTATAGGCAGGTGTACTGTATTGTTCAACAAAATCACTCTAGGGTGGGATGCAAATGCAGGTAGGGCTGGTGAAAAAATTGCCTGCTTAGTTTCCTGCTATTTGCAAGTTACCCACCATTTCCCAGGTTCTTTACCTCTCTGGACTTGTGTCTTGAATTCCCTTCTGTGCTTTCCTGCTGGCTCAAAATACATGTGACTTTTTGATCTGACAACCTAAAATCACAGAATTTGCAAAATGAAAGCAAAAAAATACAGACAGGGCTAGAAAATCTTATTCTTTTATAGCAGTATTGTTTTTTATATTGAGAATCTCTTGCAAAACACAGAATACCCGACTTTTATGAATATATCAATTGCATTCTATGTAACTGTTATTGGAACTTGAAAAACGGATCCCTCAACCATTTAATATTTACACTGCTGAAATTAAAAGTAGTTATCTTTGAGCTTCTGAGCTCACTAGATTTTTAGGACCACTATTAATATGTTTCTTTAAAAAAGGATTGGGGGGGGGGGCATTTCAGCTTCTTAAACTAATTTAGAGTTATTTCTGGTCTTTTATTGCTTCATTTGAAAACCACTCATCAATATCAATTCAATACTGTAGAGTGTAGGATAGAAAGAATGAGAGAAGATATAAATACAGTGGGAGCTTTTTTTTGCCTGTTTGAAGGCGATCACAATTTGGTCCCATAATATGGTCTACCTACTGCAAATTCCTTTTCCCTTCTTTATACAGACTATTTTATAAGCAGCTATAGCACTTTGCAACTGCAGGCTTCAAAATAATTTACCCAATTTGTACCAGCAAGATGTAACTTGAAATCTCTTCATATAAAAATAATAAACCACTTTTCAGTTGAGCAAAAATGTTTCCCAGGCCTTGTAATAGAGAATCAAATGTTTGAAGAATAAGTCCCTGAGGTGTTAAATTCTGAAGCATGCAGGGATAGTTTGTTTCAGAACTTTTGTGCAGTTGATCAAAAGCAATCATTGAGTGATCCTTGGTGGGGTTTCTGCAGATGTCCTCTTATAAAAGATAGATAGGATGGGTATATAGATTGGTGACAATAATCCAAGCACTGACACAGTGGACGTTACTAAGATCACTGAACCAATAGGGTGTTAACAATAAAGTTGGGAGCACTTTTATTTCTAGTACAAACTAGTGTATTCAGATTTACATTGTCTGCTGTATCTTCTCCCACCCTTCCCACTCTGCTAGGTTCTGCTATGTGAATTATTGCAAAAATCTGTAAGATAGGGTGGAGATTTGCATAACAGGAGTTCATCTAATTAGAAGAGATAAGAAGAGTGTCTTATATATCCAGGTGACCTATACTGCATTAAAAGCGCTTTGAACGTGGACATTGCTCAATTTTTTCTTCTATTTTCAGGTTACATCCAAGCATGCAGAGGACTCATGATTGCTGCTGTCTGCCTTGGATTTTTTGGCTCTGTATTTGCCCTGATTGGGATGAAGTGTACAAAAGTTGGAGGCTCAGACCAAACTAAAGCTAAAATTGCTTGTTTTGCTGGACTGATCTTTATTATTTCAGGTAAATCTGATCAAAGCTGTGATTTTCTAGGCAGATCAAATTAAGTAGGAAAATTGCTGTTGATTTCATTAGTTTGTAGATTCTGGTTGATGTGTATTGAAGCATTTCCAGATATTAATCTGTTCTGCACTTGATGCATTTTTTAGGACTGAGTGCATTGACTGGTTGCTCCCTCTATGCTCATCGAATAACATCTGAGTTCTTTGACCCCACATTTATTGCACAAAAGTAAGTCCAGTTGAAAAATATTGAGGTAGGAGGTGCTTTACTTGCTGTTTTGCTCCATCTGCCTGGTTCAGAGGAACCAGAACTAATTAACCCACCCAAAATAAAGTTTAAACTGCCTATAATGGGAATAAAATAACAACCGCTGCCTTTTGAATTCCATTAGTATGTCAGTGATGTTAGAATGGAAGATTACAAGACGCATAGCCTTGAGATGGATTTTCCTTAGACAGAAGCTTTGCAAAATATATTTCAGTACAATATAGCTAAAAGAAACTAACAAAAAATAAAATAACTTTTGCTCTGTTTCTGAAGTTAAACCGAGAGCCGATTATCTATATTCTAGGATCCTTTTCATCTTTCTAGTTATTGCAATCAAAACGAAAACATTTACAGCAAATGATCTAATTCTGTACAAATTCAACTTGCCCACAATATATTTAGAAGAGCTCTGTGACCCAGCAAGAAGTAAATGATTGGTCTATTATAATTACTCAAATAGTTGATTGTTATTGCTAAATTATATGCAGCAAAGCACCAGTATTTTTTTTTAATTGCAGGCAATTTATGAGCTCTTTCCTTATAAATAGATAAACCCTGGAAAGCAAGACAGTAACTTCTCCAACTCTTAGGAACTGGAGAAGTGAGGAGGAAATTAAACCTTCAATGCCCATTAGTAGTAACCATAATTCAAATGGCTTGTTTTAGACAGAAGCAATGCTTGCCATGCTTACTGATTTGGGGGGGGGGGGGCTGAGGATTGCATTGGAAAAAGCAAAAATTATTTAATTAATTTTTTGTTAATACAATGAATGTCTTTATTTAGCCTTGTAAACCCTACCAACTAAATAAAACTGATTTCTTCAATAAACTATTTATTAAACATGAATTATCACCTACCTGCAGGTATGAACTAGGAGCAGCTTTATTCATTGGTTGGGCTGGAGCATCACTCTGCATAATTGGTGGCAGCATATTCTGCTTCTCCATTGCCGAAAACAAACCAACTCAACGGTACAGACAACTGCTTTTATTAATATTAATATTAGCAGATTCTAATTATTAAATTGTAAAATGTAGCACCAATCCAGTCTGCAAATCTTTCAGAAATAACCCTAGTCAGTAATCAAGAATGATTAGTTGAAAAAAGGATGAATTTAAAAGCCCTCTGCTTTTAGGAAAAAACTTGTCAGACTCTGCTCATCTCTATAAGATTTAAGCATAGGATTAAAACTCATGTAGCCCAAACTGATGATTTATGCCACATAAGATGCCTTAGTGCTTCTTCTTTAAAAGAATGCATGTCGCATTTTCAATGCTTTTAAGATGCATGAATGTGATGATTCATGGCTTATGTTTAAATTTATTGGGCATTTTGTTTTCACAGAAATAGATTTATAATTGTGAAACCACTTCCCAACTATCTCCCTTTATCTTAAATAGTACCAAGACAGCAGTATTCACTAGTAGTCCTTATTTATCCTTCCAAACTTTCTTTCCTTTTCATCCATTACATGTAACATTAATTTTGCTTCCCAGTAAAGCAAAATACGAAGTTGAGACAAAATTGGGTTCTAGAAGACATAGGGTACAGTGCAGTAATGCATTTGCTGTGATTTTACCTATTGTGATTTTACCTATTGTGTTGAGTATGTTGACAATAAAAGTAGGGTTGTAATAGGAACTCATGAAAGGTTCTGCACTTTCCAGTATGAGCTACGTGTAATCCAGTCTTAATTTGGGAATAAATCCCCTAAATTACATAGGATTGACTTCTGAGTAAGCCAGCTCAGGTTGTCCTGTTTTGACATACAAGTACATCTCAAAAATTTAAAACCGATACCTGAATTGAAACTGTTTTAAGGACAGCTTGCTATAATAAATGGCATGGGGGGGGGGGGGGAAGCATTGATTTCACAATTCTGTACTTGGTCAAATAAAAAAAAAAATCAGAGGCTGCTAGCATGGCTGAAGGGATAAGAAATGGTTGCTAAGCTAACCCTTTTATTCCCTTATGAAAATGAAGTGGTAGATTCTGAACATCAGATAACAGGGTCCCTTTCCCAGTTTTTAGTGTGAAGTAATTAAAAATATCTGCCTAGGGAAGCTCTGTGACATTTGGGAATGTTCCACAGGCCATCCTTCACTGTGTCATCAATAATAAGGTAGCAGCCGTTTTTCTTGGCTTGGCCATTAACTCATGTTTTTAGCATTTGAACCTGTAGGGCTTTGACCGAATGACCTCCATGGTATGGTTATTAAGGCAATTTTAGCTTCCCACTAAGTGATACTCAACACAAGAATATTCTTCAGAATACACCTATATTTTTCTAGGTATTTGATTATTAGCTCAAGACTGCTGTGCAAAGAACCTATAGTTGAGGCTAGTTAAGTATTCCTACAGCAGTTTTGAAAATTGTTCAAATTTCCACCCTGAACTTTTGGTTACAGAAAGCCTTTCCCAAGGACTAGCAAAGTTTTAACGCTATTCTTGTTAAAACTGTCACTTAAAAGAAAAAGTATTAGCATTATTCATGTTAAACTGTCACTTAAAGAGAATATTGAGACTTGACCACAAGTAGCCTCCTGAACTGCAATAATGTCTGAAAAGTTTTTACCCACCTTGAACATAATGGATGGGTATAATATTGTTGTTGTGATTAAGGTGCGAGGACATGCAGCCCCTGCAATTCATCCAAACAGCTATGTCTTTTTCCCGGACTATAAGGCAGCTGCGGGAGGTTCCTGGAAATTGATGCTGCTGCTTTAAACGAGCTGCAGAGAGTGGCTGTGCTCATCCTTCCTTGTATCCCAAAATGTCTGTCTATAGTAAAACCTAAAGCACAGAGCAACCCCGTAACATTTTCCTTTTAATATTTCTTGCTATTTAAATGAGCTCTAAACTTTCTCATGTTTCAGGATTGTTTATACATACAACAGACCTTCTTCTGTGATGTCTACTCGAACCAAGGCCTACTCAGCAGATTTTAAAGGATCCAAGATGCCTCCAAAGCACTTCGACAAAAATGCCTATGTGTAACTGGATGGTTGGAGGAATCTTTTTGTTATTAAAAATCATACTTATGTGCTGTCCATCCACAGAATGATTTTTAAAAGTGGCTTGGTATCTTGAGCATCAGCAGTTTTATAAATATTTTTAACTATTTTATAAATGAACTTTTGTCTACTTGATGTAAATTTTCTTCATAACTTGTTTTAAGATCTATACTTATACTAGACATAATTTATAACTGAAAAATAACTTGCTATTTTTTTGCTTTCTGTAAAAAGAAATATAAATGAAGTCATTTTAATTACAGCCAATATTGTCAGGGATCTTCAGAATCAAACATAACAGTTGCAGCTTTTAAATGGATCCATCAGTTTTGAAGACCTGCTTTTAATAACTTGGGACTAGTTTTAAAAGCATATTAAAACAGATTGAGATAAGCTTTAGCAAGATCTTAGTAATCAATTATGAAACACCAACATTGTTTTAATTCCAGTATCACAATTATATGGATTAACACATCCCCCCACCCAAATACCCTCTAACACAAAACAAACTTTCCACAAGGTTAAAATTGGAATTTTGGATTTACATAAGGCAGATTGTGTTCTACTAGGTATCATGAGCAGATAAATATCTCTCTGTCTGAGGAATTCTCTCTGTAGTTTCACTTAATCCCTCACCTGCAAATAGGTTGAATTAAATCAGGGCAGTCTCAGGTATTGATTGAAACAATCAACTTTGTCCCTGAAGGTTTGTCACATTGCTCTAAAAATTGAAATTCTCATCAGACCACTAAAATGTACAATGTAATATACATTTGATTACATCTTTTTATTTTGTGTATTTTTTTTTAGATAATGTGATTTAGAAACTAGGTAGTATTAATTTTTTTTTGTGCCTTCTGGTCAGAGTTAATGCCTGGCAACTGCCTGGACTAGTCCTGCAATTTTCTTGGCAAGGGTTTTGGAAGTGGTTTGCCCTTTCCTTCCTCTTCCAAGGACAGAGTGTGAGTGACTGGCCCACATTCCCCCTGCTGGCTTTGGGCCTACAGCAACACTAAAACCCACGGTCTCCTGGTTTCTAGCCTGGTGCCTAACCACTACACTGGTTGCTATAGTATTATATTGAGGTAGGAATGGCCTTTTTTCCTTGTTTTTCTTCTATTAGCAAAGCTTCACTGCCTTGATACACATTATACCGTTAAAGACCAATCCTATCTTGAGCTTTTATAAGATATGAAACCCACTGAAAGTTAGCACACTCCACAGATTTTTTTTACTTCAGACAACAACACTGTACATTTAAACATCAGTAAGAAGATGGAGGAATGGAGCACGCACATACGGGTTTCCAGAAACACTTACCTGTGCCTAGAACTAAATACAAAATGTTTTGGGAAAGAATGAGGTATAAGAAAGGCACACAGCCTTTTAGTCATTTTTATGAGACCAGAAATGTAGTTTTGGTAATTATTTTGGATTAGAAGAACGTTAAGAACTTTATTGTTTAGCTGGTTTAAAATAAATAATTTTATTTTAAAAAAAATATCTTATTATTTTTATGCCTTCTGTCCCCAATTCAGTTCAAATTGTGCTTGTTGAAGGGTCGTTAAGGGTTACTAGGGCTCAATCTATGAAGTATTGAAGTTATTAAATGCCCTGAAACACCAAGTGAGATAGCATCTGGTATGGTCATTGATCCACCCGTCCCCCTTGGGCAGTTATTTCTGCATGCTCAAGGCAAAAGGCAATTTTACTCTTCATAAGAAGAGGAGGCAGAAGGAGACAAAAGCAGGGACATATTAAGTCTTCTCTTGCAGGCTTGATAGCAATGACAGATGAGCACAAAGGCCAGGCAAGAGGTCATGTTTGATAGATTACAAAACACATAATGAATGTGCTCAATTTAAGGTGCTGCAAAGCATTTTACTGCATCTTTCCTATGTTGCTTCAACCGATCCCCAAATAGAGTTCAGGTGACCTGGTATTATCCCTAATATTCCTGTGCTCACCAGGTGGCAGGATTCTCACACAGTCAACTTCTTTACCATTAAGGAAATCTGCTAATCTTTCCTCAATAGGAGGGGTTCCTTTTACACAGAACGGCTACATCAACAGATGCAGCTGGTCTTTGGTAGGGACCTTCAGAAGTTGTGCAGTGAACTTTCAGCTCAGGTGTTATGCCAGAGGAAACTGAATAGTTTTGCAGTGTTTCCTATTAGTACGGCTTTACAAATCCTTAGTAAGACCTGGAATATTCCATCCAGTTTTGGTCTCATTAAAAAAAGAGGTTGAGATTTTGAGGAAAAGTGCAAAGAAGAGCAACTAAGAGGATTAAGGGCATTAAGGACAAAAACATGAAGATTGGTTAGGAATTGGGTATGGCCAATTAGAGAAAAGGGGAGACATGATAGTAACTGCATGGAAGTGCCAGGAGTCAAAACAAAGCCACCTTCTTCCAACTTTTTAGTCTTCCGTGGTAGCATTACAATAAAGATATGTTTATATAAGGTCTTTGTATGATTTAAATATGTTTTGATATTTTAAAAAAAGAGGACAGTATTAATTGGTACAACACTTTTTAACTACTACTTCCAGGAGAACTAGCTGGAAGTAATTAACAGCTCGCGTTTGATAAAAGGTAAAATTTTGGACACAAGTTTTGTAAAGAAAAGTTCCTTGTTAGTGCACCGTAAGAAAAAAGGACAGAAATCAGATTAAACCTCCTTGCACAATCAAATATATGAAGAGTCGCTCCAATCTGTAACAGTGACCAAGCTGCTTTTCGGTGAGCTTGAGATATCTGCATCTTGAAGACCTATTAAAAAAGAAAAAATACAGTTACTTGGAAAGATATTCAGTAAGAAAGATGCTATCGTTCCCTGCCACCTATTGTTTCATATTCTTACACTTAGAAAAGTTCTCATTATTATCCAGTCTAAATCCTTTTGGAAAAAATGTCATCTCCCATGAGCATAGTTGGCCAATGTGGGAACTTTCCAGCTCTGGAATCAGTGCCATTGGGCAAAGCTAGGAAATGCGTGAAACTCTCACCACCCTCTCAATGACTGCAATGGGAAGAGTTGTACATCTTGTTGCCATAGGAACTCTTTCTTCTTTAACATTAGGCCAGTGTTTCTCAACCTTGACAATTTTAAGGCATGTGGACTTCAACTCCCAGAATTCCACAGCCAGCAATGCTGGCTGTGGAATTCTGGGAATTGAAGTCCACATGCCTTAAAATTGTCAAGGTTGAGAAACACTGCATTAGGCTATCGTGCAACTGGTAGTCTATTGTAAACAGTATCCACAGTCACAGTAGATGTAGGTCTGGATTAAACCTCCCTTTTCAAATTGGTCAGGGAAAAATATAACACAGCAGTTCTAGCATGAAAATACCTTCATCCTTTATTGGTTTTCTCCATTCGTGGGTCATTGACACAGCACATGGACCATTCTTTTCAACAGCACATACATTCTTATTTTTCTCATCTTTCAATGGTTTTTCATCTTCCAGAGATGATAAATCCCAGTCATTCTCATCTTCAATGCCTTTAAACTATAAAAAAAGAAATAACAGCAATTTCTTCAACTTAGGAAATGTTTTAGCAATATTTCACTGAGCAGTTATTTTCAATCTTTTTGAACATAGTACAGTAAGATGAAAGAGATATATATGAAATTATTAAAAGAAACTTGGAATTCTCAGGAGTAATACAGAAAAACAATGGTTTTATTTTCTTGCTTTAAAAAAACAAATCGAGAAAAAAACAGTATAGAAATGCGTAGAATATTTTCTTGATTCATAACTAAACACTCTATCACTGTAGGAAAAAAAAGTGTTATTCTAAAAAACAGTGACCTCTACTGAAAGGAGGTAGAATGAGTAAGATGAAAGAAAAAAACACAATATTGTCTGTCAGATTTTACAGTTGTAACACTTTAAATGCAGCAATGTTAAAATGTTTCTACTTGTACCTCATTCATGTACACTAGAAAGAATTAAATGTGTTTCATTCTCCATTGAAAGTAATGTTTCATTAAAGCTGCATTAAGAATTCCACTGGATACAAAGGAATACAAGCTTTATGTAGGATTCTACTGCTGTGAACTTGATTCTGGCTGTTGTTTGCTAGGAAAAATCTTAGTAATAACAAAATCAGTGTGACGGTGGAACCAACAACCATAGAAGCTGTTGGATTCCTGGCACTAGATGTATATGAGCAGAGGCTGGAAATGTTAGGGATTTCTGCATGGAGGATTCTGGATCTGATGGTTTGAGTTGCCCTTTGCAATTGTAGAGTTCTATGGTTATCCCAGGACACGTTGGAGTCAAATGAAAACATGTACAACAGGATCAGAAAATATTTAATGGGACAGTTTAGAATCTTATTTGTAAAATACCTTTACTCCTTGGGCACATGTTTGAATAGATGCTGAACCACCATTAATTCTTCCAATTTGTTTCCTTTCCTTTCTATGGCTTAAGAGAAACTTTTCCATTTCATCCATTTCATTTTGAAGTAAAGAGCCTAAAGCCCATCAAGACAGAAGACAGGCAGTTTATAAAACAAATATTTGAAGACACAGTGACAATGCCTGCTGTGCTATCAACATTTCCTTAACAAGACTTAGTCCAGAGATTAACTACAGTTCTTACACCCACCCCATCGTTCCCTCAGGATCTCAAGGGGACATACATGGCATAACCTCCATATTTTTCTCTACCACAAAAACCTGATAAGATATGTTAGTCTAAGAAACGGATCCCAAGTTACCCAGTAAGTTTCCAAGGCTGAAACCTGGACTCCCAGCCCAGGTTCTGCCCCTTCCATTCCCCACCTTAAACATAGCTGGTGCTGCAAGAGAATGAGAGGACCATTGTATGCCATCCCAGCAATCGTGTCACCTTGCGGTAACTTCTCAGCTCCACTCATACAAGAGAGAAGCCTTTGGGGTGCATACACACCAGCCTGCCTCTCGCACAGCCTGGTTTCGAATAGGCCACAGCCCGGGGGTTGGGGACCCCTGTTCTAGACATCATGCTACTGAAACAAGTTATCCAAGAAGAAAATAACAGTTACATGCAGAGATTAGTAGAGTTTGTAGGCACCACTGCATTATCACCCAAATCTGACCTGGAAAATTAATTAAATTCAGATCCTGAGATTAGACTTTATAAGACCCAAGATCACATACAATAATGATGAAATATTAAAATAACTGTCTATCTCACAAGATTTTAGTCAGTTTCTAAAAGTCATAATTTGGTGGTTTAAAAGGATCATTTAGGTTAGATATTGTTTTTCAGTTCTCTGACATGGTTCATCTGCTTCAGCTTGCCAATCTTTAGAAGGCAATTTCTCCTCCCCCACAAGTGCCACATATTTTTAGCTTTTCCCCAAATACTGCCCACATAATTAGCTTTTGTACTTCTGCTTCTGGATGGCTTAAGATCTACTTCATCTTCAGGGATGTTTATATCACTCCGATATGCAAATCTTGGCAAGTTGTCTTTGCTGTGGCCCTTGGAGGCCTTGTGCAGAGATAATTCAGGTGAGATGTAGGAGTGCCTAATGTGATTTTCCTCCACTTCCTCTTCTGAGCTAAATGGAGGAGTTCTGGGGGAACAAAAATTCATCTATGAATTTAACCTGTTCCAGTTACAGTAATTTTAAAAATATAAACTAACTTTCTATAATAAAACTAGAATCAATAATCTATCACACATTATACCTAAGACAGTTCCTTAGGAACTCTGTTATCAAAGCAAGGATAATTAGGAGCTGTACCCATTTCCGTTGAATATTACTTTGGCATCAATAGGCAGATATATTACTATTACATCGTAGGAGCAATGAAGCACTAAATTTTAATCTAGAGTAACACCACTCTATAAAAATAAGAATTAGCTAAACTATTTTTTTTACTGTTTAGGCAGAATTCTATTTCAGCCTTTTCCAAAGTATTGCCCTACAGAGGTGCTAGAGTAACTCCTTCATGATTTTTAGTGAAATAACCTGTATTCCAGCTTCTTTCAAAGGCACAAGGTTGGGAAATCCTGATCTACAGTAAATATAGATTTTAGCCAATATATTTACTTCATTCCATTCAAGTTAAAAGATGACCAAAAGTAGTTGAATCATAACCTTTGGTTGATCCTGTTACATATAATATTTAATGTAATTTATAAAATCAGAAGTATGCAAATAGCATTTGAGGAGGCTAAAAAATCAGAAGAGGATTAACAGATTTTTGATCAGGGGCAAAATATCCTGCCCAACCTTCTGCTCCCCTCTCCTTTTTGCTCTGTCCTAACTTCCAATCAGCCAACAATACTTCTTTAAGGCAAAGTGGTGTATCCAATTTGTTCCAAAATTAATGTTGGTTTTTAGAACAGAATTCTTATTTCAAAGCATGCAAAACAAAATGAAGGCAGCTTACTCAGTACTAGGTGGCTTTCTAGAAATTTCATCCTTCAAAATATTCTTCTTGATTCTGGAAGGAAAGGAAAACAAGTAATTGCAGCTTCTTTTGGCTATTAAGATGGATATTTCATATATTGCTATCTATTTTCTTGCATTTCCTCACTGGCTCCATTGGCTTATAGATTTGGTTTATATGAAGATGAAACGGACTACAGGAAGTCCTCGACTTACGACCACAACCGAACTCAACATTTCTGTGGCTAAGTGAGACATTTGTTAAGTGAGTTTTGCCCCATTTTACGACTTTTCTTGCCACAGTGGTTAAGTGAATCACTGAAATTGTTAAGTTAGTATCTCGATTGTTAAATGAATCTGGCTTCCCCATTGACTTTTCAGACTTGGTTTCACTTTTGATCGTGCCGATATTTTGTAACTAATAAACATGTTCTTTGAGGAATTTTCAAGCCTCAGAGTTCTGCTTTATTTGTCTCTGTCTGTCAGAACCATGACAAGTAATTCCCACCATTACTTCCTGATCATCAATGGGCCACTCAAAAATTGCCTGAACCATGAGATAAGCAGCAAGTAAATTTGCTTAAATGAATAATTGAATGAATGAATGAATGAATGAATGACCAAGAAGACAACTCTAACAGCCTCCCATAAAACATACAACAATTATATCTTACCTGAACTTTTTAACTTACTTTGGGGTTGATGTGTTTTCAGCAGGCAATTTTCTTTGTATGAGTGAACGTTTGGCAATGGAAGAACGTCTTGCTGGCTTGGGCAAAACGGTGGGTAAAGAAGTTCCTAAGCGAGTTGTCTTGTGTTTAGCTGTAAAGAAATGATAACGAAGGAGAATCCAATGTTATTTAAACCACATGCTTTGTCTGTGAAGGAATACTTAAGTGAAATTATGCTGCACAAAAGAACAAAAAACAGTATCTTCTATTTGATTTTAGCATTTTGCTTACAAAAAAATTCACTACCTTATTATAGCAAGTCACAGATCACCAAATCATGGGTTCTCTTTAGGATCCCACATTCCCACTTTGTGGGACCATTTCCTGTCACCATCTCTTTTTAAATGGCTAGTTTTAACATCACTATTTTTTTTAAAATTGCCTCACTTAAAAAAAGATAGATTTGATATATAATACTATGAATAGAAATGATGTACCCATAATAATCGCTAGTAATATTGCTTCCTTGGGCAGCACGTTTCATAAAATAGGTAATATTTTACACCTTTGAGTAGGAAGTTTCTGTCCACTTACTGCAGCCTAGGAGGACAATAGAAAACCTTTTACAAAGCTAGAATTAAGATGAAAATGTTACAAGATGCCAAGGAAAATGGAGGTTTTGGTTTACCAGAGTGGGTTTTATATTATCAATCATCTGTATTAACATGGGTAAAAGAATGGATAATTCTTAGAAACAAAAGCTTGTTATATTTGGAGGGGCATGATTTACAATTGGGATGGCACGCTTTCTTATGGTACGGGAAAAATAAAATTCATAAGTACTTTCAAAATCACTATATAAGAAATGCATTATTAACAACATGGGAAAAAATAAAATATAAAATATATCTGAAAATTCCAGGGTGGCTTTCAACAATGGAAGGATTTGTACACCTAAATTTAGTTGATTTTGAAAATATCCGGACATACAGAGATATTCTACATTCTGAAGGGAATTTAAAATCTAAACAAGAAATGGAAAATCAGGGTATCAATTAGCACGGTGGGAACATTTACAAATGCAAGTTAGATATAATAAAGATGTTAAACTGTATGGATTTTACAAGGGGCAAACTTTGTTTGATAAGATATTATTAACTTCTGATGAGAAACTAATTAAGAAAATTTATAATTTTCTATTAACTTTGAAAATGGAAAGCAGACAAGTTAAAGAAACAACGATAATAAGATGGGCAAATTTTTTTGGATACAATATAGAATTAGAAAAACAGCAAAATTTGTGGGAAAGAAATTATAAACTGACAATGTTAGTTGACTTATATAAAGAAAATTTATATAAAATGTTTTATAGATGGCACTTGCCACCAGCAAACTAGCAAAAATGTTTAAAAGCATGTCAGATAGATGTTGGAGATGCAAACATAAGTTAGGCAATTATTACCATGTTTGATGGACATGTGCCAAAGCAAAGAGTTATTGGAAAAAGATACATGCTTGGCTAGAAAAGATATATGTAGATACGTAGATTTTAAATCTGAACTTTTTTTATTAGGTATAAAGCCAGAAAAGACTGATAAACAAAGCATATATTTGTCTTTGCATGTTACAAGAGCGGCAAAAATTATATTTGCGCAGTATTGGAAAAATGAAGAAATACCATCAGATGAAGAAATAATTAAAAAAAATATTAGAATGTGCAGAGATGGATAGACTGACTCTGAGGCTGAAAGAAAAAGAAGAAATCAAATATTATCAAACTTGGGACTTATTTTATCGATGGCTAGAGGAAAGAATAAAGGATTAGGAACTAAATATGTATTAGCGAATGTAAACTCAGACAGCACGTTTGTTGAATAAATACTATTGAATGTATGGGGGGGAAAATCAATAAAAGAAGAAAAGTTTTTACAAAGTCTTCCAAGCAAGTTACCAGTCCAGTGCTTTCCTAATACAAGACACCAATATTCTACTTGATATATACAAAAGAGATGTTACACTTTATAATGCATTCTAGGGCATAAGTGTTTAGATTATTAATGGATTAATCTTGGCAGGGCAACCCTTCTGGAAACTAAGACATTTGCAAATAAGACCTGCTGCAGTCAGTAGAGGAGAAGTCAGAAATCAGAAACAAATATGAAGACAGCAATTCTGCCTTTTAAGTATTATAGGATTAAGCGCAATCTTTATATTCAGCACATTCAAAATTGTAGAACTACCTTGAAAAACTGTTTTGAGAAATTCTGGGCAAATTCTATAGAAAATGCAAACTCATCCTTAATTCTTGCTAAACAATGTTTCCATATAATTCCATAAAAATTACAGGTAGGTTGCATTAGTGCAAGTTCAAATAATGCGATAATTTCTTCAGCACAAATTATAAATTCAGACTAGGTCATGTTTAATTATGAACCAAAACTCAGTGGGAAGCTAGCCCACGCACCGTTGAGGCTAGCTCAAGCGCAGCTGAGGGCTTTAGACGCTAGTAACCATGTATGCAATATAGAGGAAAGGAAAAGGAAGGTTCCATTCTAGGAAAGCTTAAAAAAACAAAGTAATTTTGAAGAACTACAGTATGGAACAGAAGAATATAGAAGATAACAGTTCCACTTTGGACATGGTTTTATTCTCTAGGTTGTCCTTTGTTCACTTCTTTATTTCCTCTTTTACCACTTCAAATGTCAAGTGAAAGATAAAGTTCTGGTTTTTGCTTTTCTGGTGGCCTCAACAATTGCTAATTGATGAGTTAATTGGCGAGATCTGTCTATCTAGATCAGTATTTCTTAATCTGAGCAACTTTAAGATACGTGGACTTTAATACTCAGAATGCTGGCTGGGGAATTCCAAGAGTTGGAATTCTTAAAGTTGCCAAGGTTGAGAAATACTGATCCAGATGGTAAGATAGGAATTATATTTAGAAGATTCTTGTTTTTATTTTGCTTTCTATAACGACTCTGTGGCTTTATTAAAAATAAAATTGTAAGTGTATTCTTTTAATCTTTATTGTGAATATTTCCTTAACAAAACATATAAACATTCATGTTGATAATTTTCCATTGTCTATTTATGTCAAGCTGGAACCAATTAGCCTATTTTCCACATAACTTGGAAATGTTTAAATCTGAATGATAGGATCATTTCATGGGATTTGTGATTAGCATTAATTGAGATGTAAAACTAAGAATTTTAGTCATGTTGCACAAACAAACTGGCACACACTTATTTTAAGGAATCATTTACAGACAGCAAAGTTAAACTTTTAAATCTGACCCCCAGAGCATAAACAAAGACCATACCTTCTGAAGAAAGATGAGGGTTGGAAAGAAATCTGCTGCAAGATGATCTTTCAGCAACTCTGAAACTGACTTGTCGTTCAAGTTGCTCTCGAATATATTGAATATCAGGCAGTTGTTTCTTCCTTTCTTCTCTAGCAGACTCAACAGATATTAAAACTCTGTTCAGATGATCACTTGGGATGCCGCGCACTCCCTGGTTAGGACAAATTAATGAACATTAGAAATAATTTTATTTTTTTAGGAAGTATATAAATTATTCTTGGGAAATGATCGAACAATTAAGTCACTACTACCTTGATGGAATTACTTCACTACTTTTTTACAAATGTATTAAGTTTTACAAAGTACGAAAAACTAACACAATGATGAANGCAGCACGTTTCATAAAATAGGTAATATTTTACACCTTTGAGTAGGAAGTTTCTGTCCACTTACTGCAGCCTAGGAGGACAATAGAAAACCTTTTACAAAGCTAGAATTAAGATGAAAATGTTACAAGATGCCAAGGAAAATGGAGGTTTTGGTTTACCAGAGTGGGTTTTATATTATCAATCATCTGTATTAACATGGATAAAAGAATGGATAATTCTTAGAAACAAAAGCTTGTTATATTTGGAGGGGCATGATTTACAATTGGGATGGCACGCTTTCTTATGGTACGGGAAAAATAAAATTCATAAGTACTTTCAAAATCACTATATAAGAAATGCATTATTAACAACATGGGAAAAAATAAAATGTAAAATATATCTGAAAATTCCAGGGTGGCTTTCAACAATGGAAGCATTTGTACACCTAAATTTAGTTGATTTTGAAAAAATCCGGACATACAGAGATATTCTACATTCTGAAGGGAATTTAAAATCTAAACAAGAAATGGAAGATCAGGGTATCAATTAGCATGGTGGGAACATTTACAAATGCAAGTTAGATATAATAAAGATGTTAAACTGTATGGATTTTACAAGGGGCAAACTTTGTTTGTTAAGATATTATTAACTTCTGATGAGAAACTAATTAAGAAAATTTATAATTTTCTATTAACTTTGAAAATGGAAAGCAGACAAATTAAAAAAACAACGATAATAAGATGGGCAAAAAAATTTTGGATACAATATAGAATTAGAAAAACAGCAAAATTTGTGGGAAAGAAATTATAAACTGACAATGTTAACCTCTTATAAAGAAAATTTATATAAAATGTTTTATAGATAGCACTTGCCACCAGCAAACCAGCAAAAATGTTTAAAAACATGTCAGATAGATGTTGGAGATGCAAACATAAGTCAGGCAATTATTACCATGTTTGATGGACATGTGCCAAAGCAAAGAGTTATTGGAAAAAGATACATGCTTGGCTAGAAAAGATATATGTAGATACGTAGATTTTAAATCTGAACTTTTTTTATTAGGTATAATGCCAGAAAAGACTGATAAACAAAGCATATATTTGTCTTTGCATGTTACAACAGCGGCAAGAATTATATTTGCGCAGTATTGGAAAAATGAAGAAATACCATCAGATGAAGAAATAATTAAAAAAAATTAGAATGTTCAGAGATGGATAGACTGACTCTGAGGCTGAAAGAAAAAGAAGAAATGAAATATTATCAAGCTTGGGACTTATTTTATCGATGGCTTGAGGAAAGAATAAAGGATTAGGAACTAAATATGTATTAGTGAATGTAAACTCAGACAGCACGTTTGTTGAATAAATACTATTGAATGTATGGGGAAAAAATCAATAAAAGAAGAAAAGTTTTTACAAAGTCTTCCAAGCAAGTTACCAGTCCAGTGCTTTCCTAATACAAGACACCAATATTCTACTTGATATATACAAAAGAGATGTTACACTTTATAATGCATTTTAGGGCATAAGTGTTTAGATTATTAATGGATTAATCTTGGCAGGGCAACCCTTCTGGAAACTAAGACATTTGCAAATAAGACCTGCTGCAGTCAGTAGAGGAGAAGTCAGAAATCAGGAACAAATATGAAGACAGCAATTGTGCCTTTTAAGTATTATAGGATTAAGCGCAATCTTTATATTCAGCACATTCAAAATTGTAGAACTGACTTGAAAAACTGTTTTGAGAAATTCTGGGCAAATTCTATAGAAAATGCAAACTCATCCTTAATTCTTGCTAAACAATGTTTCCATATAATTCCATAAAAATTACAGGTAGGTTGCATTAGTGCAAGTTCAAATAATGCAATAATTTCTTCAGCACAAATTATAAATTCAGACTAGGTCATGTTTAATTATGAACCAAAACTCAGTGGGAAGCTAGCCCACGCACCATTGAGGCTAGCTCAAGCGCAGCTGAGGGCTTTAGACGCTAGTAATCATGTATGCAATATAGAGGAAAGGAAAAGGAAAGTTCCATTCTAGGAAAGCTTAAAAAAACAAAGTAATTTTGAAGAACTACAGTTTGGTACAGAAGAATATAGAAGATAGCAGTTCCACTTTGGACATGGTTTTATTCTCCAGGTTGTCCTTTGTTTACTTCTTTATTTCCTCTTTTACCACTTCAAATATCAAGTAAAATACAAAGTTCTAGTTTTTGTTTTTCTGGTGGCCTCAACAATTGTTAATTGATGAGTTAATTGGCGAGATCTGTCTATCTAGATCAGTATTTCTTAATCTGAGCAACTTTAAGATACGTGGACTTTAATTCTCAGAATGCTGGCTGGGGAATTCCGAGAGTTGGAATTCTTAAAGTTGCCAAGGTTGAGAAATACTGATCCAGATGGTAAGATAGGAATTATATTTAGAAGATTCTTGTTTTTATTTTGCTTTCTGTAACTACTCTGTGGCTTTATTAAAAATAAAATTGTAAGTGTATTCTTTTAATCTTTATTGTGAATACTTCCTTAACAAAACATATAAACATTCATGTTAGATAATTTTCCATTGTCTATTTATGTCAAGCTGGAACCAATTAGCCTATTTTCCACATAACTTGGAAATGTTTAAATCTGAATGATAGGATCATTTCATGGGATTTGTGATTAGCATTAATTGAGATGTAAAACTAAGAATTTTACAGTAATGTTGCACAAACAAACTGGCACACACTTATTTTAAGGAATCATTTACAGACAGCAAAGTTAAACTTTTAAATCTGACCCCCAGAGCATAAAGAAAGACCATACCTTCTGAAGAAAGATGAGGGTTGGAAAGAAATCTGCTGCAAGATGATCTTTCAGCAACTCTGAAACTGACTTGTCGTTCAAGTTGCTCTCGAATATATTGAATATCAGGCAGTTGTTTCTTCCTTTCTTCTCTAGCAGACTCAACAGATATTAAGACTCTGTTCAGATGATCACTTGGGATGCCGCGCACTCCCTGGTTAGGACAAATTAATGAACATTAGAAATAATTTTATTTTTTTAGGAAATATATAAATTATTCTTGGGAAATGATCGAACAATTAAGTCACTACTACCTTGATGGAATTACTTCATGACTTTTTTACAAATGTATTAAGTTTTACAAAGTACAAAAAACTAACACAATGATGAAGTGTAAAAGAAGCAAAGAGAAGGAGAAGGAGGGAGGGAGGAAAGGAAGGAAGGAAGGAAGGAAGGAAGGAAGGAAGGAAGGAAGGAAGGAAGGAAGGAAGGAAGGAAGGAAGGAGGGAAAAAGAAGCTTCCAATTTCTTCTACATCAAATGTAAGTACATTTATATTCAGTTTTATTTCATGATTACAAAAAAAAGAGCTCACTTTTTTCTATTTTCAAGTTTTTTCTAATAATCAAAGTCACAAATCATGAGTGCATATTTTCATGCAAAAAGTCTATTAGAGAAAAAGCAATATATTTCTGGTTGATTGAAAATAATAGATGTTTCTCTTTTGATTAGTTTAGTCATCTCTGCAAGTTCCATCATCTTCATCAAACATTCCTCCATTGTGGGTTTGTGTTGAGCCTTTTCAGTTTTGAGCATCTAATAGTCTTGCTGCAGATGTACATCACTACTTTAGAGGCACTGACTTCTGTGCTGAGATTTGGTTTGTCGCCTTTTTCCTATTCAGAGGCAATATTTTGTGCGACATAAGGTTCAGAATGTCAGACAGGCACACCTGAAGTGCGCTGGCTTGAAAAAGACATTAAAATCCTTTCACTCATTTGAACAATTTAAAGTGATCTTACGGATTTAATTCCCAAGGATTCCAACTTTTCTGCTAGGGTCTGCTCCAAAACAGTTCTCAGTTCTTTTGTTAAAGAAGGATCGCTCTTCAAGGTATTTATCATATGAGACTTATTCTTCCCTGTTTGGGGCACTTGCTTTTCTATTTCTGAAACAAGCCAGGTATTTTTCTTTAAAAATCACGTCATAAAATCAATACACACTTTATCAAAATATTTGCAGTGTATTTTGCACTCACCTGAATTTTCTGCCTAAGAAATTATACTGTTTCTATCAGTAGTAAAGTAAAACAATAACTTAACTTTAAATAGAACTGGGCCAGTTTCTTTGGTCACAACTGCATTGGACAAATCATGTTATGCATTAGGTATCAGTTTAATTACAGATACAGTAAATCCATGAAAAGTTATTTATGATTGATTTTAGTGGACCTACTCTTAAGAATAAGTAAGTAAAATGTAATGTGCTCATTGAATCCTAACAATACTAGTTCACTGAATATAACTTATCATTCACATTGTTACTTATTGTGTTTGCTAGCAATTTCATCTATGGTTTTTTTCTGGGGGATCAATCTGTAGTCAATTATTTAAAAAATACTCTTATCACAAATGATAGAGAAGCTTGAATAAATAAATAACCTTAATCACTGACTTTTGTTCAGAATGGTATAAAGCAGTTCGACTAGAAGACTATCAAGCTCCCTTTCAACCCTATGATTCTATGACTCCCTGAATGCAACTGTAAACCTTAGATCTGTATGAATAAGACAGGAGGTATGTTCAAACAGTGGGCTGAAAGTCACACAAGCCAAGAATTGTATCAAATGAACTACAAGGAATTCTGACACCCCAAAATAAAAACAAATTCAAAACCAAAGGAACTGGTTGGCCCTCTCCCCCTAACTCAATTGTCTGTATGTGTAAGAAAGTTCATGTGGAGGAGACACACCTTGGCTGGACATAAGGGATGAATAAAACAGAATCCTGGAGGGAATAGTGGTGAACATTAATTGGCAAAAAAGCCAAGCAATAGGAGAAGCTACTTTTCAAAGGGATCACAGAAATACTGAGGCTATCTGAAAATGTTGACGTAAGACTTTTTTGTGTCTCCTGCTAGAAGAAATGTGATATTGCTCTCTGTCTCTGACTCTCTCATACACACACATAATGCAAGAAGAATTTAGGCCACAAAAACTTCAATTGGTCCTGTTGATTACCTTTTTCATTCTCTGGAAGCTCCTCTATGGGCTCCAGCATGGGTACCAAAAAGGCCTGTTCTAATATTGAGGAAACACATGAATAGAAGCACAGACAGAAAGACAGACAATATAAAAACAAGTAAAGATAAGGCCCAGAGAATGAAAACAATTCAAAAATGTACGGAAAAGTACCAGATGCATATTTATTTGGTGATTAAAGCCCAATCAAATGCAATTATTCATTATCAACTTAATGCAAATTGTAACCTGCCTCCAGCTACATGCACCTGGCAAAATATTTTTTATCATTTACAAGTGGTTTTCAACCTCTAATCACAAAGTCCAGGTTAAACAGATAATAGTATATTTTGGGGGTTAAATCAAAAAAGCCATGAAGAAATTTGCTCTATTTTTTTCCTCCTGCCATCATATAATACAACAGATATAAGGACTTTGTCCCTCCACCATGTACAGATATTGGGGGCAGTGGGGAGACACATTATTTCAGTCAGGTTGTAGAAGACATCAGTTCAATCTCTACTCTTAAGGATGTATTAATCAATTCCTGAGTTACATCTCCCAATAGATGTACAGTAAGCCATAACAGCTATGTTATTCTGTAGTACAATTCTCACAGTACAGTCCACTGAAGCTATTCTAAATTGGATGGTTACCTTTAGCTTGGGCCTTAGAATTTTCTCAATAAATGTAAATGAGTAAACTGAGTAAAAACTCTTTGGCTATTTCAAGTCTACATGGTCCCTGTGCTTACAACACTGATCTATCAAAGGAAGTATCATTTTACTAGCAACAGTTCAAAGCAAAGTGAGAAATTATATCCTTAAAAATGTAATGAGAAAATCCTAAGGCCCAAGCTAAAGTAATCATCCAACTTAGAAAAGCTTCAATGAACTGTACTGTGAGTATTACATCACAGAATAACATTGCTGTCATGGGCATACAGCAGGGGTCTTCAAACTTGGCCCTTTTATGACTTGTGGACTTCAACTCCCAGAATTCTTCAGCCAGCATGCCTGGCTGAGGAATTCTGGGAGTTGAAGTCCACAAGTCATAAAAGGGCCAAGTTTGAAGACCCCTGGCATATAGCATAAATCTTCACAATTGGTTCTTATTTACATTTAGCTAAATTTAAGGTAACCAATGAACACTTAAGATTCTCCTCTTCAGTTTTCCAGCTTAAATATAAATCAAGAAGCCAAGTGGACACTACTTTATATGGAAGAATAGTTAAGCCAACTTGTGCCATCTACCGAAGCCGTTTCCCTACTCTACGGAACAACCAAAGTTCCAGTGATTATGGCAGCTATGCTCACACAAAAAAACCCCATTCAAACCTTTATTTGGAATACCTCAGTTTTTGCGTCTACCTATCTTAATATCCCAGTTTTTCTAGGGAGAGATACAGTCATTATAAATCTAACCTTTGCCAACTGATTGTAATAAAATGTCATCAAGAAATTCCACGCTCTCAGTTTGCCATTCTCCTTCAAAACTGCACACAGGGAGTCTTCAGTATGGCTACAAGTATATGAAGATCACCTGAATGCTGGGATAGCCCCATGTCCAAGAACATGTTTTTTTCCAGCTCAGGCAATAACGTTAAATAGTCTTTCCCCAGACAATCACTCCTCTAAAAATATCATTCTATCAGAGGGTAAAAATGCAACCATACTAGACTCACACCTATAATGTGGGAGAGTTGGGAATAATAATTCATGGGCACAACATAAACCTGGTAACTTACTATTTGCACCTGGTGTCAAGTCACAAGCAGGAAAGGGTTGTTGCCACTTGCAAATTAAGTTTCTTCATTTGTCACCTAGTTTGTCATGGATACCTATCTTCATACAGATTTGATTTTAAAGCAGTAACTATAAAAGGCAGGAGGAATGTGAAGGTGCAGGAAGAGAGGCATACAGAAGTAGAAAGACTTTCTAGTACTTAAATAGGTAATTACCAACAGAATAATTCAGATCAAAACCCAAATATGTCCAAATTGAAAAGGAATGCTAAATACCGAAAACTTTGAATACTGATAATTTAGACATTTTTGTAGAAATAGCACAGGTTAAATTGCTATTCAAAGGTAGCTTTAAGAAACAGTATCTGCTATTACAAGTAATGATCTAGATTTATTTCAAAAAATAACATTGATACCTGTACAAATTGAGCAGCTACTAGCAACGACAGATAAAGATATTCCCCACATCTTAAAAATTCCTATCCAAACAATCCAATTATTTGAATTGGCAATATCATGTGATACAATTCCTGGTGCTGAAGGAAATTATACTTCTATAATCATGAGCATTACATATGGGATGGTAGAAAGATCGCCTCTTACAATGCTGTAATATATAATGACACACTGGGCATTTTGTCTCTGGTTCCACATAAATTGTCTAAAATTGGAATTGTCCCTGGTTCCACATAAAAATGGCTCTGACAAATTATCATAGAAAGGCAAAAGGCAAACTAGCAAGGCTGACATGCAAGCAACTCAACCATAAAGTACAAAATAGAAATGCAGTTTGTACCCTGAATATACAGTAAAGCTAGTTCATTGAACCAACATAGTTTCTATTCTAGCAAAAACCCATTTTATAGCAAGCAAGCAATTAAGGCAAAATGATACATATCTTGCTCTGCTCTGCAGCTGAGCATTAAAAGCACAAATCTGTTTATTCCCAAACTTCTCTTCTAAATATAGTCTCTCTTTTTCTCTTACCACTAAACCCACTCATTTCACTAACTCCCCACACTCTTCATTTTCTCTTTGAGAATCATCCCTTTCCAAACACACTTGTTTCTCCTTAAAGTGCTCCTGGGCAGCTAGAAAAGCAATTAAATGTTACAAATGAAATAATTCCCAAAATCCTCCCAGAGCCTTTTGCAAAATGTGGGCAATGGTTCTGCAGGCATAGTAACACCTGGGAGCACTACATTGCTCTCTCTCCAGCCTATCCATTTTCTCACATCTCTTGCATATTTAGAAACCTCTTGAAATAAAACACATTTCAATTAGGTGTTTTTTAAAGGTCCTCTTATTACAAACTTCATTCAAGGTGCTTACCCCAGATTAATATAAACTAACCTTGGACAGCGGATTCTGGATGCTCTTTTGGTAACAGTCTTATAGCTGGGAGGCTGGATTGATTTTCTGCTTCAATTTCAAAATCTATTGAACCAGCCACAAATTAATTTGATTACAACAAAGTTTTATGCTCTTAGTTAAAAATCCTTCAATTTTGATTTTAAGTAGAAACAATTATTGTACGGAAATAAAATGTCAGCAAGTTACATACATGTCAACGAATACAATAACTGATCTTTCCAATATATTTCAAGAGAGCTTAATGAAAAAAGATTGTTCCATTAATTAAATTTAGTTGTTATTTATTATTATCCCAGAGGACAATACCTAAGAATTTGCATGTCCATTACAGAAACCTACCATGCATGGATGACGGGCTTGATTTGGGCTGAACATTTTGCACTGAAGCTTTCACTAGAACAAAAATGTGAGAGGAAGTAAGTGTCAACCTTCCCATTACAATAAACTGCATATATTTCTAAACAAGGGTGTTTTTTTTCCTGCAAAACCAGTTTTGTAATAAAGTTAAAAAAAACTATTTACGGCACATGTTAAACTCTTTCTTCCTTAAAATTCCCACTTACCTTCGGATAACTTTGAGTTTTCTACTGTTTTTTTTGAAGCCAGTTTTTCTATCTGAAATTACAGGGACAGAAAACAATGGATAGAGATGCAGAAATGAGAATTTGCTTGTACATCTTAAGCATCTGCCCTTTTGACAAAGTAAGGCTTCCAGGTAGGTGATAGGGCTGCATGCCCAGACAGGAAGCCAAACAATGTTTTTGCGATACTTCCTCCCTGCATAAAGTGCAGACGAACTGTCCTTAATTGATCCCAGACATAAAGACAAGCACATACAGTAGATGGAAAGAAAGAGGAGACTATTCCTTGCTATAATGAGCTCCATGTTGGCTCAATACAGTACTGTCAAGCCTGGACCGGTAGCAAAAAAGACCTTTTGTCACAGTCAATTGCAATTATAAGTAAAGTCTCCTTCACAAACTAGTTCTGGTGACTTCCTGGCCATGAGATTTCCTGACAGTGGTCCATCGAAATTCTGGCTCCTGAATCCAGCTCCCTAAGTTTATATTGCCCTTTTCTGCATATTTCCTTCCTTTTTTGTAATTCTTTGAAAAGCAGTACCCAAATGCAGAACCTGTATTCAGCAGCCATGTTCTACTGCTAACTTGCAGCTGCCTTAGGAGCATGTAAGAACACAAAAAGAGAAGTGTATAAGGATAGAAAATATTTACTTGTGTAATTACTGAAATTCCATCCATATTTTTTATATGCTCACACTCTGGCATTTTTTATATGCTCACACTCTGGCATTTTAGAAGGGCACCATTACATGGAACAGACCTGGTGTTTCTGGATAATAATAAGATCATTCTGTTCTTGCAGCTTTTGTCCTAGTTCTTCTAGCCTCTTCTTATAGAAAATGTTGCTCATATTCAGATCCTCAGCCACTGATGCTTTAAGCTTCTCAATTTGAGATGTGAGCTGAACAGGTCAAATAGGGGAAAAGTCTATTTAACTGGAAACATTCTCTTTATCTTATGCTATATGTATCTTATTATATATCTATATCTATATAAATAAAAATGTAAATGTTCGTTTGTTCAAAATCTTAAATCTCCGAAAGTTATTCACCAATTGCTTTGAAATTTTGACACAACGTTGCATTCGAATACACGCGTGTTTTTATATACCTATATTATATAGATGTCACACCTGTGACAGGTAAAAACATGCTTTTTTAAAAAAACAGCGCCATCTGTTGGACGTAAAAGCAACACACGCTTTTACCAGACTGAGCCACAGCAACGCGTGGCTGGGTACAGCTAGTTTATAATATAAAATAAAATTACTGGTTTTATTTTCTTCCTCCCAGCTTAATGTTTTTTTGTTCATAAAGGTTAAAGGCCAGAGTCTGCTCCCCCTCAGCTCTAGGAAAATAGAAATATATCCACTATGGAAAGTTAATTAAGACATTTTCCTTTTAGGAGAAATAATTTAGATCTACAAAACAGGCTTATTTTCTTAAGGAGTTAGATCAGACATGTCAAACACAAGGCCCAGGGGCCGGATGCGGCCCGCGAAGTGGTTTTATGCGGCCCGCGAAACCATTCTGGAAACAGTGAGGGAACGGCCCCCGCTGCCTTGGCCCTGGCCGGGTGGGAGGGAGCCAATGTACAATTTTGTGGTGGCCATCTATGCTGAAACACATTCAGTCTTAGCTCCACAAGGCCGTCTGGAAACAGCGAGGAACCAGCCCCTGCTGCGTCGGCCCTGCCCCCTGGGTGCATGCTGGGAGGTGTCACCCTTTGTGAGGAATGAAAAAATGCACCATTGCCTGGAAGTAGCCAGCAAATGGCCCTCGCCTACTTCACCTATCCGGCTTGATGGGCTCTGGGGGAGGGGTTTCAGCAGGCAGTGAGTCTTCTCCAGTGGACCGTGCCTTGGCACTTGCCCCGGTCCCACCCCCTTCTGCCAGAGACCCTCAGATCTGTCCCACTACTGCCCAGGCCCCCACAGGCACCCTTGAATCGAACGATGTAGAGCTGGCCATGCCCATCCAATAGGCTACACCCACTCCGTTCACACCCACCCACTCCGTCCACACCCACCCGGCCCCACGAGGGCAACTGCAATGCTGATGCGGCCCTCAATGAAATTGAGTTTGACACCCCAGAGTTAGATAATCCATTAATTTATTATACTTTTGTGCTCTTTGGTATGTTAGGCAACTTGGGGCCCTCCCAATAGCAACTAGAGAGTATCAGGGTGCCTATATTACTCAACAGGATGGTGATGACACACAGAAGATTTGTGTAGCTGTCACAATCAACCAAAACCAGACAACTGCATTATGGGCATAACAGGTTTGTATAGTTTGCAGTGGTAGCCTTTCAGAGAAAAAGACAGGTATCCTGATACCAAGTGACACTTTTTACACCATTCCACATTTCTCCATTTTGTAAAACTCCTTTCCTGAGTCTCCCTTACACTGGAAGCTAGAAAAAATATGCAATGTAAGTATAAATTTTGGTAAAATTCCTAGGTTTACTTTGTTTGTGATTATCTTATAAATCATGAATATATATGCCTATCTTATAAAATATGAAAATACACACAGACACAAACTTTTACCCTAGACTTTCTGTAGTTCTTTTAACTTTTGTCATATAAAAAGCACTTCAGTGAGGGAAGATGTTTCTCCATTGGAATTCTTGGTTTTAGCATTTCAAATTTCACAGAGATAAATCTGAATTTAACTGAAAAAGTTCTAAAGTAATTCTTGTCATAGCATACTTCTGCACGCTGTAGTTTATTTTTCAACAAAAGAACTGAATGTGAATAGCTTCATGTAGTTTTTCAGCATGGAAATCAGTGAAATTTTACATAATCTTAAGAGGATTTTAAATAGCCATTCTGAATGGTTTATCGTGTTTTCCTGTAATAAATATTCTATTTTTGTATTATTTATTTATATGTAGGAAACTTTCATTCAGATTTACCTGATATGTTTCATTTTCATGTTCTTCTTGAAGAGCTTGTACCTTAGAAGACCACTTAGCTTCCTACATCAAACAAATATGATAATATGAACAATGTCTTAATTTTATATTAATTTTGTTTTATTGAAATCCAAGTTATCAACTGGTGTCAAACTCACAATATAAATAAAATCCCAATGTGAACTGCTGCACCAGAAAAGCAGCCATGGAAGTTAAGAGCTGTTGATACTAGCAGAACATCATTTGTTACACTACATTAAAAGGTGAATATGTTGCGGCATATATTAAGAAAATAAATTTAAATGAGTTATCTGAAACTAGAACCATACTGTGAAATTACTTTTGCTTTCTGTGCCCAAGTTGATTGCCTAGATCATTTCATGTTCATGTTGGAGCTACTGAGACAGATGACTGCTTAGTTTGAGACCACAATATTATTATTATTATAATTTATTATTATTATAATTTAATTTATATACCGCCCTTCTCCCGCAGGACTCAGGGCGGTGCACAGCGTATTAAAAACAGTACAAATACAAAACATAAATAGACATTATGAACTAATTTAGCTTGTAATTTTAAAGTATGTGATCTTAATAATGCACCTGGCTCTGAGATTCTAGAATACCTACTTATCAAAAACCAGATTCCAAGCATTTGTGGAAAACATGGGGGGAGGGGGGATAAGGGTATCTCAGAGGTAATGGCATTAAGAAGAGGGAATCTCCATTCAGATGAAAGAAGACAAACATTCTGTCCAATCCAGGTTTTACCTTATGCCACATTCTAGAACAAGACATAAAGATGAAATCATCTTTTACCAATTTAAAGCACAACTGAGTCTGAATTTGGAAGAAAATGCATTAAAATAATCTGAACATTCCTGAGAGATCTAATTCTGCCTTCACTAGCCCCAGTCCCCAGCTGAATTGTAATCTCAATCATCCCCAACCAGTGTGTTCATTCTTGGCTTTAATAGGAACTGATAGGAAATATGTTCAACTTACAGGGAGATAAGGGAGGACAATATGCACATAAATTCTGTTTCCCTATTTAACCCAGATACTTGGGACCTGGAGTCTGAAGTCACAGTGCCTGACATTTGTATTAAATTACCTGTTTTTCAAGAAGCTGCATTACATTCTGATGATCTATAGCAATCCGCTGTTTCTCATCTATTAATTCAGTGGTATCTTTTAAAGTGCCTAAATTGGATTTCAGATGTTGGTTGGATTTCTGTACCTCTAGCAAGTGCTAATAGGGACACAACAACAGCAATAGTAAATTCAAAGTTCTCTTTGGAAATATAAATAAGCTGGTATATTCTGCTAAAAAAAATTTTTTTAAGACAAGTGTTTTTTGCAATCTCCACCAACCCCCATACTCAAAATCTAGCCATTTTCTTGAATTCTAATTACTTAAATAATAAGCCAGCCCACACATATAAAGTACAAGTATTTCTTTTTAAGTTCAAAGTAATATGTGCTCCATCCACAAATTCAGAATCTTTTCAGGAAAGTAATGAATATATGGGGCAAAGAGGAAGAGAAGAGATAGCCCTCCCGATTGAAGGAGTTTTGATGGACAGCCTTAGCAGCTGCGAATAAAAATAATCCTCAGCTTGAACACAGCAGGAATAGAGGTGCAGTGGGAAAGGAAGGAATTTGTGGCTGAAGGATAATCAGTAAGCTCAGGTTTTTATAAAGTTCTAAGCCTTTTTCAATATTTAAAATATAAATCATAATGAACTGCAACATTACTCTATAGAGTACACCATCCAATTTCTCAGCTACTTACATTTTCTAATTCTGAATTTTTTGCAGTTAATTCTTTAAATTCCTTCATAAACATCTCTTTAACCTTCTCAAGTTCACGGGCCAATTTTTCCTTTTCTTCTTCTTTCCATTTGTGAAATAAGTGCCGAATCTCCTCCTCTTTGGATCTGCGTTCTTCATATTCCTGAAATTGAATGAAGAAGCTATTTTAAGAATTCCAGAAAATCCTTTTCTACAATTCCTGCCTGTTGATAATGATGCTTATTCCAAACCCATAAAACCTTATCATAACTTAGTGTAATATGTGGATTATAAAATATTCCAATCTAATTAGAGGATTGCTGATCAATCATAAAAAAGGTTTGTAGGGAGAGATAATGGAAATGGTGGTGTGTGAAAATGTATATTGTATATTCTTTTAACCTGGCTCATTGCTAGAACAAATTTTTGATAAAATCTATGGACAAGATAGACAATTATTTGGAATTTCCCAAAGAACATAAAAAAGAGGTCCAGATTTTAAATGTAGCCACCAAGTCTAAGATAGTCAATGGTCTTTTTCCATCTACATTTCATTCTATAAAGTGTAAAAGTATTAGACAAGGCTAGTCACTTTCTGAATGTTGATATTGGTTTAGACTTATAAACTTAATTAGTATTGTATAATTGGATGGCATCTTAAAACTGAGTCATACAGAATATGCCCTACCTTAGACAGTTTGACTACATGGGCATGTTGCTCAGCTTCTAATTGAGACCTGGTAAGTTGTAACTGCTCCTTCAGTTGGTTGATCTCCTCCTGCAGTTTATCAGTCTGTGATTTTTTCTTTTGACTTGCTTCAAAGAATGTATAATAGTGATAGTGCCTGTTAATATACGTACTTCAGAGAAGTGCAGTTCTACTTACACATACATTTGAAGCATTATTTCTTCATGTGGATTATAATACCAAGTACTTCCTCAGTACATTATCATCTAAAGGATGTAACAGGGGCTCCTCCAAGCTACTTTAACAGTAAACATTCTATAAAAGCTACAGAGTACTTTTATAACCTTTAATTCAATGTATTTTGCAAATACTAACCTGCAAGAAAGTTCCTCATTATTAATGTTTTCATTTCATTATCACCTTTTCTTCCAAATGCAATACACCCCAGAGATGTTCCAGGTCAGAGTGGACCCTTCTATATGTTCCTGTACTACAGCTCACACCTTTTTTCACACTGAACATGCTGTCTGAGACTGCCAATAGTTCAGTAATATCTAGAGAGCCACAGGTTTCCTATTCTTCTTTTTGGAATGAGGAACCGGAGGAAAGGAATAGGAATAACTCCTTCCTGAGCACAGTTGAACTCCATCTCAATTAATAATAAATAGATGTTTTATCCAATCTTAAAGCACAATCATCATGAGTGAACAAATAAAAGGAACTATATTTGGCATATTCCTTTTCAACTAATTTTACCAATTTCTCATCAGCCACAATGCTGAATAATTTTTATGACAGACGTCCTGTCAAATTGAATCCAAGACCAACACACCCTTACTCTTCCGTCTTACTTCACGAAGTCCTTTCCTCTTGCTTATACATATACATGCACAAAATAAATGAATAATGACTAAGTTCCAGGTGCCCTGATGACATCATAGTATATAAATAATCTGTGACACCCTCAATCAGTCTTCAATGCAAACACTTTGAATCAATTAGATCCCTCCTTCTGCCAAAGATTCAATCCTACAAAGAAAAGCAAATATGTATAATGAATATTATGAGATGCTCTTCATATCAACTTTTCTCTCTTTTAGAAATATTAAATTGCAGATGTAGGTTGCATAAATCCACATGACCATTAGATGGCAGCAAAGACTTTTTTGCAACCTAAAACTGTTAACCTAAATTTCTCTTTATCCATAAAAGCAACTGGATCTGAAAAGGCAGTTAAGCTCCTAAATATCACATATGATAATCTATTTTTGAGCTAGCTCCTTAATACCAATCCACTGCAATTTAACCAGTCAGAAACTGCAGTAATTGGAAGAAAACGATTTGTTGAAAAAGTACAATACAGATAGAATGTCTTTGATTTACTTTTGCTTTATGTAAATACTTTTAAACTATGTCCAATTATGTCCCAGAAAATTATATCCAGTTATATCACAGAAAAAAAATTATTACCTCTTACAGTGCAGGAAAGGAAATTATGTCCAATTATCCAAAAAACAAAAAGAAAAGGAGTAATAACTACATAACACTAGGATGAAGTTTTAAAAGTTTTTGATTTTGGAACCACCCAGTAAGTTGACATTATCTTTATTTCCTTTTATTAATGGAATCAACCTAGAATTATTTTTAATGTTACAATTTCATAAATGTAAAGTCATCCTCAGATAAAAAGGAGTTTCATAAAGCATTGCTAGGTAAGTACACCTTTTAAAGCAGTGAAGATACTGATTGCATATTTTATTTCACCATCCAAGATCACTTTATTCATATATTGTAAAATATATTTTTCATAATATAAATAGTCCTGAACTTAGTCATTTAATGACTGTTTGCAGTTCTGATGGACTCCCCAAAATCTAGTTACTATCCAGCTTCAAAGTTCCAATGCATTTTGAGTGCTCCAAAACCAGCCTGTGTATGCAGCCACTTGCAGCACCTTGCAGTCACATAACTGTGATTTACAATGGCTTTGCTGAATCCTATATTTACTTCTATTTTCTAGAAAAAAAGCCTATAGCAAACAATAGATTTGCTTAATGACCATAGTGTTTGCTTAATGACTACTGCACAAAAAGCTTGTAAAATCAGGTCAGTCACATGATGACCTGCTTTATAACCATAATATGACCTTAAGTGCCAGACTCAATTACGGTTGTAAGTTGAGGATTAGCTATACCGGTAGATCCTTTCCTCTGATCATAAAAAAAAATTGGAAGTCATTAAAAAATAAAACCTAAATTTAAAAAAAACAAAATTTAGATAATAGGTTTTATATATACACACTGTACAAAGTTCACTTGTACAATTCAACTTAATAAGGGCCGTAGTAAGTTCTCGCATATTAGCAAGAAGTAACAAATGTGTTAGATTTCCTCTCTAAACAAAGTCTCCTCATTCTCTAAATAGCACCCACTGCACTTATTTGCTTTTTTCAAACAAGAAAAATTATGGATTGGATGTAAATTTTGAAATCTATTTATTTATTAAACACTCACCGGTGATTGGTTCTTCTGAATGGCGACGTTGCAAATGACTGTGCAGGAAGGAAGAGTTCATAAAGGCTTTGTCACAAAACTGACACTGTAAAATAAAAGTTTGGTTAAACAATATCTGTGGAACTAAGAATATTTATCTCTGTATGTTTATCTTTATCTCTGTATGATTCAATGTTTGTCGTTATTTTTAATTACATAGTTTTGTTCTGAAAACAATTGCCATTTGAGCAATTTAATGGTAGTAGTATAATGCAAGGAACTCAATCCTCAACCAAAAGGACCGGAAAAGACTTCTGATTAAAATATACAAATATTAAATTACAAATATGCTTTTAAAAGTACAATGCATATAAAGAAACTTATTTTTTCTAAGTCACTACTGGTGACAGCTAGTGGCAATACCCAGCTGATGTGGGCTAATCTTGAAAGAATCCTTTAAGGGATGGAAATTGAATGGTGACTAGACAATTCATGCCCCATTGGTTTTATTATCTGAGGATGAGGATGCTGCAATGATCATAAGTATAAAAAGCAGCCATAAGTCATTTCTTTCAGTGCCATTGTAACTTCGAACGAACGCTGAAAGTTGAGGAGTAGCTGTATATTATTATTATCATGTAGATTCAAGCTAGCTTAATTCACACTATATTATGGCAGATGAAACTGAGTACTGGACTGTAGGTTTCAATTCTGCTGCAATGTACAAAGATTACACAATAGGGGCATTATAGAACAATTCAGAAATGTCTGAAATTCTGCCAGTGGAGAAGATAAGCAAAAGTCAACAACTCTGTGCAACTCTTTAAAATTTAGAGCAGAAAGAAGTGACAGATAGGATTAGCCCACTTCAACGGAATTTAATAAATTTAGGAGAATCGCATTATTGAATGTATACAGGGCAATGATTCACTTAACAACTGTGACAAGGTCATCAAATGAGGCATAACTCACTTAACAACTATTTCCCTCTCTTCAAAAACAGTCTCCAATACTTTATTATTGTTTTCCTTTGTTTACAGCATTTGTTATTCTTAGGTATGAGAGCAAAAGCAAAAGACTAATTTGTAGGGGGCTTCCTCACAGACCAATATTCAGAATGGTACTTTATTTGATACCATCCATACTGAGTTCAAATCACCAAGCTCACAAGTAAACCTATTCCCCCCCCCAAAAAAAAAAATCGGGGGGGGGAGGAGAAAGAAGATGCTGTAATCCTGCATTCATACAGACACATCAAAATCAAATGGCCCTTGAATGGACAATCATCTTTTATGTGACAGTTGTCTTGACAAGCTGGCTGCCATGGGGCTTTTTTTTTTTTTAACCTCCCAGGGCTGGCCCCAAGAAGTAACCCAAGCAAGGCCTGCTTAGATTCCCAGCTCCACCCCAGTAAGCCGCATCCCACCTCAGGGGTCCTTGGTGCTCAGGGCCTGCTTGTTTTCTTGCGGACATTTCATTAACCAAATTAGGTAACATCGTCAGTGCTAGTAAGGAGTGAGGTTTGCGCTCTCTATGAACTGAGAAGAAACCCTACTCTTTATTTGCACTGATGATGTTACCTACTGCAGGGCTTTTCAACCAGTGGTACGGGTACCACCTGTGGTACATTGGCACCTGGCACGCGACCATCCTAGAAAAGTGGTAGCGGGGGAGGGGAATGAGGTGAACCGGTGTCAGCACCGCACAAGCCTGAACGAGAAACGGCTGGAGCTGCAGGGCTGTCAGGGCTCAGCAGAAGCGCCAGGATCAGCGCCAGGCTACAGCTGGAGCTCGGCACTGATCCTGGTGCTTCTGCTGAGCCCAGAAGAAGCGCCGATCAGCTGGAATGTTGCAGCATCTCCAGGGTCTTGTGATTTACATTCAGATGCTTGGCAACTGATTCATATTTATGATGGTCACAGTGTCCCAGGGTCATGTGAAGTGACCAAAACCTGCTGCAACCACCCAGCAGACGGGGAGAATAAAAACCAAACACCCCTTACCCCACCCCCGCTGCCAATCCTCAACAGAAATGCTCACAACAATGAAAACCTCGGACAGGAGGAAGAGCGCCGCCGGGCGGGCAGGCAGGTGTCTTGCTCAGCTGTGGCTTGTGGGGGGGCACTTTTTTCAGTGCCGTTGTAACTTTGAACAGTCACTAAGCGAACTGTTGTAAGTCGAGGACTACCTGTACTTTATCAAGTTTTTGACCCCTTGCTAGGCGACTGGTGGTACTCGGATGTTGCCATATCCTAAAAGTGGTACAATGGGTGAAAAGGTTGAAAAGCCCTGACCTAGCGTGGGTAACGAAACCTCTGCAAGGAAACAAGCAACCTCAGAAAGCACCAAGGACCCCTTCACGTCAATCCTTGAGCTACAAATATTCTCGTTTGTTAAAATATCCCACCTCCCCAAACCCATTACTAGCGTCCCATTGCAACTGGGAGTCGCCCACCTTCCCCGCCAGCCCACCTGGTGATAGGTGGCCCCGGCCTGGAGCACCATCTGCTGAGTGGCGATCATCTTCTTGCGGCGCTTGCATTCCTCCTTGAGCAACTGGATCTGCTGTGCTCCGCGGGCCACATCCTTGGCCAGCAGGTCGCGGTGGGCATCGGCGGAGCGGAGCAGTTCCTGCCCGGCGCGGACCTGGGCACTCAGGTAATCCTGGGAGTGGAGGAGGTACTCGAGGCAGAGCTGGGCCAGGCGCAGGAGCTTGAGCAGCAGCGGGTCGGCGGGGCCCCGGCAGTGCGGGCAGCGCTCGCGGCCGGCGTTGCAGAAGGTGACGTGCTCCAGGTGCTCCTGCAGCACCGCCACGTTCACCTCGGCCGCCACGCGGTCCACCTCCACCGCGCTCAGCCGACGCCAGTCCGGGCCCTCGTGCCTCGGACGGAATTGGAAAGGGGGCAGGGCCGCCCCGGGCGGCGGGGAGGTCGCTGCCGCCATCCGAGCCAGCGGCTCCGCCTGTTGGGACAGAAAGAAACGGGGGTCCCGCACCGCCACCTGCCGGGGGTGACTTCGCCGGCCTGGCGGGCGCCGCATGCTGTCTCCCCGTTGCCGCGGCAACCGAGGCGGCGTTGCCGGAGTGTCACCCGCGAGGAGGGGGTCCCGGCAAACCGCCCACGAACGTCTCCCCCGACCCTCGCGGCGAGTGCGTTTTCCCCGCCATGACAGCCTTCCTCTCCTTTTCAGCTCTTGCCAGCGGTGCCTCCCACAGTTTTCCTTTAGAGGGGGGGGGCTTCTCAATCTCAGGCGCTTGAAGGCGTCTGTGAAGGCCACGCGCCTTCAAACGCCCGCGGGTGAGGAACGCTGCTTCGGACACGGAGCTTCGCTTTTAGCTCCTCGCTGCCAAGCCGGGCTGAGGAAATCTGGAGGCCCGCTGGATGGCAACAGAACGAGGCAGGAAACTCCCTGCTGCCTTTTTATCCGGATTGTTAAGGGATCCAGACTGTTAGGGGCTCCAGGTAGGCTTTGGTTGGCCTACCTGGCAGAGAAAAAAAAAATCACACAGATTTAATCGTTTTACCAACTCCCTGTCATAAAAATAAATTCCCTTGCATTAGAGCAGGGTAGTTTATTCCCTGGCCACCCAAAGTGTCCCAACTAGGAGGAATCATTGGTCTCTACTTAAAAGATTTGAATCGTATGCAAGCAAAATTGCCAGTTTCAGTTTTGGCACATCCAAAAGTAAGGGTGAAAAGAATAAATAAAAGCAGTAGATTTTTTGTTGCCCACTGAGACTTCAAGAAAAAGAAGGCGCAGAGGAGTTGAATTCAAGCAAGCTCTTAATCCTAGTTTCAGGGAGATTATCATTGGATTTAATTGTTTTTGGAAGCATCACTCTTACTGTAAGCACCCATTTTGCACTTGCAACCCTATAATCACTCCTAATTTCTGAAGCACATAATAATATAGCATCTAACATATAATAAGAATCTAATAATCTTTCAATCCAATAGCAGACAATGTTTAAGATGCAGTCATATATATTGTGACCTGGAAAAACGTTATCACTGATATAAAAACAAGCTTCCTATGACTCCCTACTTCCCTCCCTTGCTTTGCATTTCCAACACTTTTGTCCAAATTAACACAAGGAAAATAGTTGGCTAATTTGGATTTAACTCGTGGTTGTCCTCAGTGATCCAGTCCCTTAGTCATGGTTTGCTAATAAACCAGTTGCCTTTTATTGTGAGAGAGGATTTCAGCGTAATAGAATATAAATTAAATCGTCTTTCAGCACCTCCCTCTGACTTCAATACGATTCGCTGTTATTACAGTCATATACACACAAATATGTAAGTTACCTATATACAGATATTCACACAATTCTATCTCCGACGAAGTGAGTTGCAATCCCATAACAGTGCATGCCCCTAAAAAAAGGGGGGGGGGAACCACAATACTATTTTTTTATCCAATAAAAGCTCACGTCAAAAATGCCAAATGAATATTGACACAATATGCAGCTCAGCCTGCATGGTGTGTTGCTCTAATCGCGACGCAAAAAAAGGCACCGCGATTCCAAGCATTCCTTTCCCCGCGAAGTTCGGAAAGCGAAGCACGCCAGCGAGGACGTGGTCGAAATCAAGCTTTGTCCCAAAAGCCAAGTCCTATTGCAAAAGGAGAGCCGGCGAGAGGGAGGCGAGGGCCGGGGCTTCCCCAGGCTTTTAGAGAAGAAGCAAACGGGTTTCCCGCCACTCCCGCTTCTCTCCTGGGCTCGCGCTCCCAAAGCGTTTCTCCGGGTGGGACTGCAGAGCCGGGACAGGCTCCCTCTGCTGGATGAGATGCGGGAAGATCCCGTCACGAAGAAAGGAGCTCTGCAAGGGATCGGCCGGCGGCAGGGCCGGGATAAATAGACACACACACACACACACACACACACACACACACACACGCGATTTGGTCGCCAGCACTGAGCGGCTCCCCTTCCCCGGATGCGGCTATCCACCCAGGGCTATCCCCTTTCGCTGGGATCTCGGGTCGCTCGCCTCACCTGGATCAGGCGACGTTCCAGGGAAGCGGCTTCCTCGGCTGCCCAACCCCGCCTCCTGCTCTTGCGCATCCCCCGCCTTAAGATGCTCGGGATTCCGCCTGTTTTTCCCCCTTCCTCCCGTTCCTCCAATCCGATTATCCCCAGGCGGGGAGGAGCGAGCGGGAGGTCTTGGTCTCGTGGCCGGGAGAAAGACCGGTACGCAGAAGAATAAAGCAGCCCCTTCTGTTCCCCCGGGAGTAAAATTCCAGAAGTGTGGCTGGGACTAACTTGGGATCCGCCGTTCCTTAGCGAGCAAGCAAAGCGCGGCCAGCTGCATGGTACGGATTTGTAGAGTTGGCTTTGTGCAGAAGCCACTTCTGTGCAAACGCGTCCCAAATGAATCGGTGCCTGGATGGTAGAGTCTTCAAGCCACGCTGTTCGTGAAGACTCGCCTTTCGGGGCAACCGTGCAGAAAGGGGCTGCCTTTCCCTTTTTCTGCATCGTCTGATTCCACAGGCTGTAGAGGCCTCAGCCAAATATTGTCCAAGTCAGACACTGCTCAGCTTCTGAGCTCGGGCAGGCTGCCCACGGATGCATCAGCAGGATCAGGGACAGGGCTCCGAATGCACGGTTACAGCCACCATCTTGACAATAAATGAAGCCCTCACACGTCCCTGGATTATAAGAGACAGCTATGCTATTGTGTGCAAGGATGGGGGGAGTTCTGGTGATATCAGTTTGGTCAGGCTGCAATTAAAGGGAGGGGGTGCGTAGATGGGGGAGCCTCTCCAACATTAAGCCAGCCACTTTTTCTGGTTTTATGTGTATTGCTGGGAGGCGTGAGTAAAGAACATTAGGAGTGCGGGCCTAGAATAATATAAATAAGTGGTCCTTGATTTAGGACCACAACTGAGCCCAAAATTTCTATCGCTAAGCAAGACAGTTGTTAAGTGAGGTGCCCCATTTTATGACCTTTTTGCCATGGCTGTTAAGCAAATCACTGCAGTTGTTAAGTGGACACATGGTTCTTAAGTGAATCAGGCTTCCCCCACTGACCTTGCTTGTTGGAATCTGGCTGGGAAGATTACAAATGGTGATCACATGATCCTAGGACAATGCAGCTGTCATAAATGTATGCCAGTTGCCAAGTGCCTACATTTTGGGGGGGAGGGTATGAATTTTTATTTATTTCCAAGGTTAAAATACAAATCAAGAAAAAAAAATACAATACAAAAACAAAATGAAAGAAAGAAAAAAGTGTATGCACCACAAAACATAAACTATGCACACAAAATGTCTCCCTGGTTGAATACTCCTAAAATACGGAATATTCCAGTGACAACAACCCCCCTTGCAAAACAAGTCCACATCAACATACAGTATGAAAAATTGCTATATAGCAACAAATGAATGTTGAAATAAATCAACCACACCTTGATTTCTTAGGCATCAGTGAACTAAGACAGAGTGGAACTGGATACTTTCAGAAAGAACTACCTGGACACAAACTGCAAAGCCTTTCATAGCCAGAAAATGTATTGCAAGAACAGCTGTTGAGTTCAGTGTGGCCAATGGCCAAAATGTAAGGTCCAAGGCCCTTACTTAAATTTGAGACACCATTAAAGGTCTAATCAGGCAAATCAAACGGAGGCTTCTTGAGGAAACAGTGCTTTAATTGATCAAATAAAACAGCTGGGTGGCAAACAATCTGGAATGCTGGCAGAGTTACGTCCAGAAATGCCACACCTTAGAAAGTTAGAAGCATTGTTTTATAAACTTTGGTTAGCCAAAGTTTACATTATAAGGAAGACATCAATCATTCTTGTAGGAGTGAGTTATTCCCTCCTTCAGTACATCCCATCCATGTACATGTTTCCCACACTTGCATGAAATTTGTCCCTGACGCAAACACTGATTACAAAAGCAAAATAGCAATAGGCTAAACAATTTCTTTTTGTTCCAGTTACAGAACCCTTCAGAATAATACTAGTTGGACTTGAAAACACATAATCAGTTGTCATAATCTTTTAGCTCAGCCCCTCAGATTATGCCAAATTTTCTGATCTGGAAAAGGATAGTGGTGGCTTCTTCCAGAGCACCTCATCACCATTCTCTTGGGTCATCAGATGTTCTCCTCCTGCACCTCTCCGCAAGCCTGCTGTCCTCATGTCCTGTCTTAGAGGATACTGGCCCATTTCCTTTATTAAAATAGCTAGACAACCTATGGCCCATTGGGTCACTTTTCAGAAATATTTCCTTACCTAACACTTATAAACCTTTGTACAATTTCCACAACACTTGCTGCACCTCCTCGCACCGTTGTACCCCTCTACACAATCTCCCCAGCCCTATATGGCATCTCTTGAGCAAACCTTAAAGAGAGATCCAACCTAGAACTAAAGAGAAGTTTCCTGACAGTGATAACAGTTAATCAGTGGAATGGTTTATCTCCAGAAGTAGTAGGTGTTTCATCAATGGAGGTTTTTAAGAAGAAACTGGACAGCCACTTGTCTGGAATGGTATAGGGTCCCCTGCTTGAGGAAGGTCTCTTCCAACCCTATTATTCTATGTTATGTGTTCTAAGCAACAGTCTTAAGATGTTGGAGTTGTTTGCACACAAGCAATGTGACTTCCATCTGGTATGGAACTGATATCACACAGCTCTGAAGACTCTGAAAGCTCATTGGAAAAAGAAAGAAGCAAGTAACTGACAAATTCCACTGCTTGTCCTTACATCACATTTCTTCTTCTGTTCCTGAGAGGGTAAGAGATCTTTATATTTTATCTTTTTGGCATCCCTATGATGTAGAGCAGACCAAGAAACAGATGCCAGGAAAGTCTAACACTGTTTTTATTAAGATGGAGTACTGCGACAGAACCTTGCAAGTATGTTTATGATTGCATCTTCCCTTTTTATATTCTTGTGGGTTACAAAGATACCTAAGAGGTTTACGCATTCCTTCTTCCCCTTTTAGATTGAAGCCATGTTTAGTTACTCTCCGCTTTATTAACAGATCTTTCCTCTCTATCAAGATCATCTTCTTTACTCCACACTCTCCTCTTCCACCTTCTCTCCTGAAGGTCTACATATGGGATTTGCTCTGCTCTCTTAATATTATTATTGTTGTTGTTGTTGTTTTTTCATAGAGAATAAAATACAAAACAGTAAAACAAACAAAATAAAACAAAACAGAATATATTCAACCCTAACAAAAAAAAAGAAAAAGATGTACAAAAAAGAGAAAAAAGTCATCAATTAAATTAAACATTAGGATCCACCCTGGGTGGGTGCTGAAAGAAAAGAAAAAGCAGTAAATTCTCCTCCCCTTTTACAATCTTGATTTGCAGTTCAAGATATATTTGATTCATCTCTTACTGTGTGGATATAACTTTATTTTTCCCATATAAAGTTACTATTAATCCAAAGGGCAATATCCAGCTATATATTTTTCAAGACTTGTAAATTAAGGTTTTAAACTGATGCCTTTTTCTAAAGAGTTTCAGTTGATATATCTTAAAATATTTGGGCTCCATCTTCACCACAATATATGTTTTCAATTGTTCTAGCCTTTGCATAGTATTTATAACATAATAGTGTGAAAACTTAATAATAATAATGGCTCTAGTTTTTTTAATTACCTAGATTATAGTGTCCTATTTGGTTCACACTTTCCATGTCTACAGGACCAACAGTAATCTCTGGTAATAACTAATTTAGCCAATTTACCTGAAAAAATATAGCCTGTCAGCATAATTCTTTGTAATAGCAGTTGGCATTCTGTAGATACTATACAGTAATAGTTTACATATATCTTAAGACTCTCTTTTCAATACCTAAATTGTGTATGAATTCCATTCAATGACTTAAAAGTTTTATTTGTAGCCTCACCAAGATTACTACAGCAAAGGATAACTTGGGGATTTCTTCTTGCAATGGTTTAATTACTTTTGATCAATTAGTTAAACTTTTTTCAACTCAGCAGATATTTATTTCTACTGGTGAAAAAGAGATAGATTCATCACCTTCTTTGTGTTGAAGACTTCATGATTGATTATTCCTACTCCTCTGAGGTCTCTGAAGAAAGACAGGTACTACCGTATTTGCTTTCATTTTAGAAAATTAGGATGGTAATTTTTTAAAAATCAGTTGTTTTTTGGTAGAGACCCCAACAATAAACTTTATTAGAAGACGGAGATGTTTCTTTTCACTGTAGAGCTCAATTCAAAAGAGGAGAGCCTGAAAAGCCGAATTAAGATATAATTTCTATCAGTGATGCCTTCCCCCTTTCCCCACTGTACTGTTAAATTTTACCATAATTCTTACGGAAGCTTAACATTAACCCTAACTTTATCCAAATGGCAAAATAAATATTATCCCGGTCAACAATATTTTTATTTATGTATTAAATTTCTATCCCCCCATCTCATCTAAATGACTTTGTCCAGGGTCCAGTCCAAGCTGGAAATAAACAAAATGGAGACTGCTTTAGAAAGAAGGTTGTTGTTTATTGAAGAGCAGAGCCAGACAGAAAGATGGTTCTAGGAAAGCTGACTACATGTAGTAGGGAGTGGTGGGTTTTTATACCTTCTTGAGCTTTTGTTTGGAGTTGTTCCTGTGGCGTGAACTTTGACCTGAGTCTGAGTGTGCCTTTCTGGTATTCTGATGGTGGTGGGTTAATCCTATTATGTCCCAAAGATCATATCCTGCTTCCCTGGTGCTGTGGCTGATGATTGTTGGATTTTTTGGTGTGAAGGATTTTTGTTTTTCTAATCCAAGCTTCCTGGCTCCAATCTTTCTGACAAGATTATCACATCTGCATTTCTGCAGACCTGGTTTCTGTTTGGGGCAGAGAGACTTGAAGGGGGGGGGGTGTTTCTGCCTTTAAGATCCTTTGGGAAAATATATTCTGCCTTTTTAATATTTCCCAAAATATTTCTTTCTCTGGATTCTTCCCACAACTTCATAATGATATCAGCACTATTCCTAATTAATAAAAGCTAACTCCCAACCCTAGAGTCAAGCAAACCCACCCCCTCAACTGACCTTCCCCATACCGTACCCCATAAGTCACTTGTCCAAACCACAGCCCGCAACTGTCCATCATGTTTTAGCCTCCAGCCCTCTAATAATCTTTGTTGCACTCTGCACTCTTCCTAGAATCTCAAGGTCTTTTTTTATATATCGTGGGGATCAGAACCGGAATCTTTTATTTATTATTTATTAAATTTGCTTGCCGCCCATCTCACCTCGAGATGACTCTGGGCTGTTATTCCAAGTATTCCAACACTGGAAGTTTTTAAGAAGAGACTGGACAGCCATTTGTCCGAAATGGTATAGGGCAGTGGTTCTCAACCTTTTTAATGCCGCGACCCCAACTGGTCGTAAGTCGAGGACTAAACCGGTCATAAGTCGAGGACTAAACCGGTCATAAGTCGAGGACTAAACCGGTCGTAAGTCGAGGACTACCCAACCGGTCATAAGTCGAGGACTTTCCCTGCCCGGGAGCGCCGCGCATGCGTGGTTCCGCCCCCTGCGCCGGCCGAGGCGTAGCTGGCAAGCGGCAGAGACGGAGCAGGCCGACCACCAGCTGGCCCAGCCCAAGGGAGGTAAGGCACCCACCAGAAAAGGGGGAAAAAATGGCGGACAAAAAAAATGGCGGACAGCCTTGCTTGGCGACCCCCATGAAATGGTCGATCGACTCCAAATGGGGTCCCGACCCACAGGTTGAGAACCACTGGTATAGGGTTTCCTGCCTGAGCAGGGAGTTGGACTAGATGACCTTCAAGGTCCCTTCCAACTTTACTACTATTATTATTATTGTTGTTGTTGTTGTCGTCGTCTTACCAAGGCAGTATATAACAGTAGTAATACTTCACGTGATCTTGGTCCAGGACTGCGAGTAAAACGCGACTAACTTGTTACTCGATCTTACACGTTCCATCTGATTTCAACAATGAACAGTTATTTCCTAGGATAACAACCTGCTGTGGGCTTTAATATATAGTTTTCAGTGTTTTCCTTGCGCTCGGTCACAAGAAGAATCTCTTGAAATGCCAAGATGCTCTTGTCCTGGGGAACTTTTTTTAAAAAATAATCCCGTGAAGGTTTGGGGTTTTTTTTCCCAGTCGGAAATATCGTTCCTCCCCCGCTTTTTACACAGCCGCCAACGAGCAGGGACGCGTTCGGAACCAAGTGAGGGCGCCGTTTCGTCAGCCCAGCTTCGTTTGCCCTTAACGCGCGCTCCCAGGCGAAAGAGGGCGGAGCCATTTGACAGTAGCCTCTCCTGCTCTCCACGTTCTCCTTGCAAGAGGCAGGACGGCGGACATGCCAGCCAATCAGAGGCTCCCACGACCCACCCTCGGGGATCCTGGTTTAGAATGTTAAAGAGTTTCAGAATTCCGAAGTAAACTTTCCGAGCGAGTTCGGCGGTTGCGCGCGTGAGTCTGCGGGCCGTCATGGTTTCTCCTCGGACTTGTATTAACAAGCTTGGCTCGACGCTTCCGTTGCTGTTGGTGCTCTGGGATCTCCACTATGAGGGTGAGAGGAAGTTTTGGCAATTATTATCTGGGAAGTTTAGCTACTTGGGCGAGAGAAGAGACTCGGGGCGGAGGCAGGAAGGCGTATGTGGGGTGGGGGGGGGAACTGGTAGAAATCCCCTCCGCTGACCGGGTATAAAGTGCATGCATTATAAACCTTCTTCCTATATAGAGCTAAAAACATGGTCTCGCTTAGGATGATTGCAAACGTGGGGCAGGAAGTTTACAGCCTGCCTTGTAGGGAGGGCCACAATGAAACTCCCTTGGAAAGAAATGGGAGAACTCAACGAGTGTTTCTCAACCTTGGCAACGTGAAGGTGCGTGGACTTCATTCCCCAGCCAGATACTGCTAGATAAATTTTTAAATTGGTTATTAGATACTAAATGTTGAATTAAATATTCATATTTAAGTATTAAAGTTAAGTATTAGATACTCGCTGGATGGGGAATTCTGGGTGTTGAAACCCACACATCTTCGATCTGTCAAGGTTGAAAAACATTGGTATAATATATTAAACAGTTCTACTTTTGGTGGGTGGTGTTAAATGAATGATATTAAAAAGGTTCCCGAAGAGGGGGGAAATAACTTTTCCCCCCAAGGGAGGTGCTGTCCCTACAGGAAAAGCTCAAAATATCCTTTTACTGCTCTCATGAAACTAGGTGGTCCTTGGAAAGTTGGCATTTGCCAGCATAGTCCCAGGACCATTATTCTAAAATTAAAATGTTGTAGCTTACATGCAAGCTGTGCTTATTTACTCAGTGGTTTTTACTTTTCCTGAATTGTGTTTAGGAATTCAGCCCATGAACTGGTAAATGCCTATTGTCTGCTTTGCTGAAATCTGCCCAAGTTTCCCAAATAATTAAATCGACCATTTGCTGGACCAACAAAATATTGTGGGTATAGTAGTACACATGGAGTTCAATAAGGCATTTGACAAAGTAGACCACAACTTATTTCTTGGTAAAACAGAAAAATTATGGGATAGACAGCATCACTACCAGATAGATTCGTTTATTTGTAAAATTTATAAGCCACCCATTTTACCGCACAGTAACTCTGAGCGGCTTACAATATTAAAAGAGAACTATGAAGCTTAATAATTCAAATACAATACTATGAAAAATCAACCTAGCTAAAAAGATGGGGAGGGAGTATGATGAAAAGGAAGGTGTAGTATCTCTTATTAATCTATCAACTACCGCCAATGTGAAACCTCTTCATAGGAACCCCAAGTCAACTGGTACAGCCAGATCTTTAAATCATTATAGAAGGTAAAGACCTCACTCTGGAGGGGAGGGTAAGATGTTGCAAAGGACAGGCGCAAGGGCAGAAAAGGTTCTTCTAGAATCTAGATCCTGCCAGCCGAAATACCCTGGCCGATGGGACCCACAAGCATGCTGGCATAGATGGGTTGGGCCACTCCCAGTGGGATGAGACGGTCCTTCATGTAGCCTGGACCCATGTCATGAAAGGCTTTAAAGCAGTGGCCCCCAACCTTTTGAGCACCAGGGACCGTTTCCATGGACAAAGGTTTTTCCGCGGACTGGAGGGGATGTGGTTTTGCATGCTGCCTGCATCCCACAGATGGGGCTTCGTTTGTTTGGGCAGCCCAGTTGCTGGTGTGCTGCGGACCAGTGCCGGTCCACAAACTGTGGGGGTTGACCACGATCAAAAGGGTTCTAAAAATGTGACTGTTTCCCCAAGCTTGGGCTTGAGTGGGTGGCAGGTCATATTTGAGGGTTTAATGGTTGCCATTCCTCTAGCACAGAGGTCGCCAGCCTTTCTGGGCTCGAGGACCGGAGGGAAGGAGAGCAACTTCAAAATTGGTGAGCGTGTGCATGGGGCCACGCAAACTGGCACGGCACTAGCAGCCCCGTTCGCGCTGGTGCTGTGCACATGCACAAACAGCCACGCACCCTCCATGGCGGCTAGTGGCCCATTCGCGCTGGTGCAAATGGGCTGTAGACACATGCCCTGCGGTAGCATCCCGATTTGTGCATGTGTGCATGCGCAAATAGGGTCGCGGGCACTAGCACGAGTGGGGGTAATGCACGCCCACACATGTGCACATCGGTCAGCTGTTTCCGTGGCCTGCAGGCTAAGAGGCCGCGGACCATAGGTTGGGAACCCCTGCTCTAGCAGCAGGGTATTTTGTGTTTTAATTTTAATTGTATTGCATATTTTTACTGTATGCTGTCAGAGAATTGGGCGGCCTTAGAATTAAGTTTAAAAAAACTTTTGTTCACTGGCTGTATGCAAATAAATATAGTTGCATAATTGCAAATGTATGTACGAAGTTGTAGCATTCTCAATATTTTTACAGTATTTGAAAGTTTGGTCTCTTATTTGCTCTCTCCTTTTTGTGCAATGGCTCCCCATAGCTGTAGGATAGCATGGGTTGCAGGTGTTTTGATTTGTTTGTGAAAATATATTTTATCCTGCAATAACTTAATAACACAGTGCTATCTTTTTGAGTTCAGAAATATGGACTGTTTCCTTTTACCATAGGTACTAATGTATGTTTATTCTGTTGAATTTTATTTTAAAAATATGCTTTGACCTTAAAAAATGGCTTATACATATTTAAGTAAATAAATAATTCCTAGTTTTTTGTTTTCCTGAAATATAGACTATATTAAACATTCAGTTCAGTTCGGTTCATTAAAGAGAGATTCCACCTGGAACTAAGGAGAAACTTCCTGATGATGTGAATAATTAACCAATGGAACAGCTTGCCCCCGAAGTTATGGGCGCTCCATTGCTGGAGATTTTCAAGAAAAGATTAGACAGACATTTATCTGAACTCTTGCCTTGGGCACGGAGTTGGACTAGAAGACCTCTAAGGTCCCTTCCAGCCCTATGATTCAAATTATGTCATTTATATCTTGGCCTTGATTGTTGAGAGACTATATTTCATAAAGTTATGAAGATTTAAATTAAAATTGACTTAATCAAATAGTATTAAAAGTAAATGTATCTCATTAGTAGTAACTGCGAGAGGGATCTTGGAGTCCTAGTGGACAGCCTCTTAAATATGAGCCAGCAGTGTGCTGCAGCTGCCAAAAAGGCCAACACAGTGCTACGCTGCATTAACAGAGGGATAGAATCAAGATCACGTGAAGTGTTAATACCACTTTACAATGCCTTGGTAAGGCCACACTTGGAATACTGCATCCAGTTTTGGTCACCACGATGTAAAAAAGATGTTGAGACTCTAGAAAGAGTACAGAGAAGAGCAACAAAGATAATTAGGGGACTGGAGGCTAAAACATATAAGGAATGGTTGCTGGAATTGGGTATGTCTAGTTTAATGAAGAGAAAGACTAGGGGTGACATGATAGCAGTGTTCCAAAAAGAGGGAGTCAAACTATTCTCCAAAGCACCTGAAGGCAGGACAAGAAGTAACATGGAAACTAACCAAAGAGAGAAGCAACCTAGAATTAAGGAGAAATTTCCTGACAGTTAGAACAATTAATCAGTGGAACAACCTGCCTCCAGAAGTTGTGAATGCTCCAACACTGGAAGTTTTTAAGAAGACTGGACAACCATTTCCAGTGATGGCGAACCTTTTAGAGACCGAGTGCCCCAAAACTGCACCACCCCCACACTGCGCCTGCCCCGCCCCCACTCCACTCCACCCCTGCCCCGCCCCCACCCACCCGCAGGGCCACCCACCACCTCCATGGCCCACCGCAGATCGCCCAGGTGGCCCAGCTGTGCCATGGTGGCCACGCCCTCCACCCGTGCCCCGCAGCATCATCTGTTTGCGACGGGGCGCAAGGGCGGAGTCTTGTCCCCACTGCCCGGCTACCATGTTCTTGGCTGCGCTGCTCCAGGGGGGCCATGCCTGGGAGTGTCTCTCTTCCGAGGGGGCTGCTGGTGTGGAGGAGCCTGTGGGGGGAGGCGGAGCTGGGGCGACGGCACGTGTGCCCATAGAGAGGGCTCCGAGTGCTGCCTTTGGCACTCGTGCCATAGGTTCGCCACCACTGGTATAGGGTTTCCTGCCTGAGCAGGGGGTTAGACTAGAAGACCTCAAAGGTCCCTTCCAAGTCTATTATTGTTATTGATTAAATATATCTCACAACTTTAATCATTTTTCTCTTCTATCACAATTGAATACTCTAATTTACTGATAAATTTGAAGGGATGCAAGGATTCCATTAACATTTAGATAGAGGAGTTCATATCTGATGAACTTTTAATCAATGAGTTCAGAATTGGTATGTGGGCACTTCAGATTGTAGATGAGAAGAGATTCATTTTTCTTTATATACACAATATTTTTTCCATTGTAAAGCTAGCACATACTGGATAGCACTGGTAAAAAATTTCTTGATAATGCTGATGTAATACGGCTTCCAGAGTTTTTTCTATCCATGGTACATGAAATGGAAAAGAAAATTACATTGACAATTGGAGCTTATTGAATTTGTTGAGCATTTAAAAAAGAAAAAAGTTATTCTCGCTTCAGTATGGTACTTTGCATTTGAAAACCAGTGGAAGATCAAAAAATAAAAAAAGAAATAAAGATTGTTTCCTAACTTCCTCTGTTCTATTTTGATGTAACTTGTTTAGATCTATAGATATGTATGTTCGTTAGTATTGGTTTTTCACTGAAATAATGAATTTTATATAACAAAGTGACTATTATTTTAGGGGCAGAATTATTTGTTCTATTGTATTTTATAATTCAGTCTGAAGCCATTTCAGTCAATGTATATTTTAATTTGATTTGTTTCCTGAATGTTTATACTAGTTATGTTAATTTAGTTTTAAATTTATGCCTTCTGCTTTTCCATGTACTGTATAGCAGCTGTTCTTTCCCTAGAAGAGCTTGGGCCCCCGAGCTAACCGAGTGCCAGGATGGTTGGGTCCCCATGGGACAGGATGGGTTATTGTGGCTTGCTTATATGTTGATTCTATCTATTGATTGCATGACTTGGCCTGGGAGGAGGGACCAAGATGTGGAGAGAGCTGAGAGGGAAGACCAGGAACCTCAGGATGGTCACAGGCAGAGCTAGATAGGGCATGGTAGATAATTGGTTGTTTTTTAATTTCCATTTTTTGGGGAAATGCAGAAAATAGAAAAACCTTAGTTGTTCTTTTTCTTCCTTCAGGAGTACAATGTGGCATAAATGCAGAAGTAGAAAAGCAGCTTGAATTGGGAAAAAAGCTGCTGGCAGCTGGGCAGCTGGCAGATGCTTTGTCGCATTTCCATGCTGCCATAGGTACGTACCTGGAGACCGTTGGTCGATAGTAGGTGCCATCTATAAAACATTTTATATAAATTTTCTTTATATGCAGTTGCCATTGTTATTTTATAGTTTGTTTCCCAGAGATTTTGCCAGTTTTCTAACTCTATATTGTGCCCAAAATTTTTAGCCCATGTTATCATTGTTTCTTTTACTTGTTCATCTTCCATCTTTAAGCTTAACAAAAAATTATACAATTTCTTAATCAGTTTTTCGTCTGATAATAATACCTGATCAAACCCTGCTCTTTATAAAAACCATATATTTGTTATCTTTCTCATATCTCATTTATATTTGCAAATGAGGCCACCATGATAAATCGATGCCCTGATTTTCCAACTCTTCTTTAGTTTTTAAATTTCCTTCCATATTCAAGATATCTTTGTAAGTTACAATTTTCTCAGGATTAATTAAATTTGGGTGAGCGAAGACTTCCATTGTTGAAAGCCACCTTGGAATTTTCATATAAATTTTCACTTTTATCTTTTCCCATATCAAAAATTAAGCATTTCTTATATAATGATTTTGAAAGTATCTATGAATTTTGTTTTTTCCATACCATAGAAAAGCGTGCAATCCCAATTGTAAGTCATGCCCTTCTAAGTATAATAATCTTTTATGTCTAAGGGTAATCCATTTCTTTAACCATGTTAATGCACATGCTTGGTAATATAAGACCCAGTCCGGGAGTCCAAAGCCTCCATTTTCTTTAGATTCTTGTAACAATTTCAGTCTAATTCTAGCTTTTTTCCCTTGCCCGATAAATGTCAAGGAATACCGTAATTTCAAACTGCCTTCACTAACTTCTAGTGAAAGAGTTCAGTGTCAGCTCCACTGTTGAAATTTCCTTATTGTTAGAAGATTCTTCTAACATTCAGTTGGAATTTTCTGAAATGCAATACGCCATTTTTGGGATTTTGAGAAAATAGATAATAGGTCTTGGTGATATATTAGACCAGAGTTTCTCAACCCTGGCAACTTTAAGATATGTAGACTTAAGCATCCAGAATGCTCTAGCCAGCATGCTTACCCCATATGTTGTTGTAGGAGAAAATAGGTATAATAGACCCTCATTTGGAAAATTGCACAGGCGTGTGATGTTGAGTCACTGCCATTCTATCATTCTTCTCTGCTGTTGGGTGCTTCAACCATTTTCTCCATTTGCAACTCCAGTCTTTAGCAGAACAGAGATGAGAAATAGAAAAAAAGGTCTGGTAAACTGCAAGGGGAATAAGATACAGGAAGGAGAGTTCTAACTGTCTCTTGTAATATCTACAAACCTTTGTTTATGTATTAAGAAGTAGATACAAGAAAATAAACGTTTTCCATTGTTGATTAAGTATGGGTTTTTTGGGGGGGAACAACAGTTTATTAGCTGAGTTTGTATAGCCCACTAAACTAAACCATTTGTAAAGTTGTGATTGAGTTAGAGTTAAGGAAAGACTAGGATCATTGGTGGGCTTATATATTTTATTAACTGTTCCCCTAGATAATACAAGTATGATATTAAAATTAGGGGTTGAGAAACTTATTCTTGCTGAGAATTGTAATTGCTGAATGAATGTTTTTATATTTGGTTTACAGATCCAAAATATTCTAACTTCTCAAACAGGAATTAAGTGAAAAGGCTGGTATGTTTCTGTCAGCTACATGTTAAAGTCTTAATAGCAGGGATGGTGAAAAGAATGTTCCCTTACTGACCAGTTATTTGGTCTTCAGCAAGGGAAAGATGTAGAATCTAAAACCAAATTGTAAAGTAATTTTCCACATATGTGAGTCTGTAGTTAGAGATTAGAAGCTGTAGCATGCTGGGGCTCAACTTCCTTAAATATCCACTTTTGTAAAGCCTTTAAAATCAGACTGGGGTTTGATAGATGTTCTATGCATACTGCTGTTAAAATTTCATTACAGTGCCTACATTGTTGGAAATATTCCTTCATTGAGTTATATGCAATGTCACACACAAACACACACACAAATTGTATTCTTCCTTGTTGCTTGCTCCATTCCCTCCAAAGCTTTGGCTGACTTAAGGCTATGTTCTGATTGCTACTTTTTTTTTCTTGCAGAAGGAGATGCTGATAACTACCTTGCTTATTACAGAAGAGCCACAGTATATCTAGCCATGGGCAAATCAAAAGCTGCCATTCATGATTTAAGCAGGGTAGTTGAATTAAAGCAGGATTTCACATCAGTAAGCAGTACTTTCTAAAGATTCCTTTGGGGTGACTGGAAATGGCTTTTGGTCTTCATTTTTTGTAAAGCCTTTAAAATCAGACTGGGCTTTGATAGATGTTCTATGCATACTGCTGTTGCCTTTTAAATGGGAGTCAGTCTGTCTTTCTTTTTTAGTAAGTGGTATAATCTAACAGAAAACCTCAATTATACCACTTGGGGAGATTAAATATAGGCTGAAATTCTAGCTGGGGAGACAGGATTTTCATAGTACTAATTCAGCATGTGAATTTGCTCTGATTACTTCGAGGAATATTAATACCCTTGAAGATTTGGGGACAAAGTTTTTGGCATAGCTACAAATTGCTGAAAATATGTGCGGATGGATTCTTAAATCCTTTTTAGATTCTTAAGTAGCCTTTCGCCATTGTAATGTGACATACAGCACTATTTATCTTGATGACACTATATCAACAATAATTATAATATATCTAGTGCTTGGGAGGTGTATATTTTTAGAAACAATACTGATGCTATAAAATAGTTGAATAATGAAGTAACACTTTTTAAAATTGAATCGTGGAGATATTGCCCTTTATCTCAATATTTAGAAATTTTATTGCTGACAGCTATATTTTTAGATTTGGATCTTATCTAATATTCAAATGGTGATCTAGATTGTTTTTTTTTTTAGAGTAGCATACAATAATTCTATCATCACAAGCGCAGACATTTTTGTGTGGATATGTTTTAAAAAATCAGGTTGGTGGCTATACTGCAGGTAAAAATGGAGCAAGACTTTGATCGTGCAGCTGCCATGTTGACTTTTTTGACCCCTTATGTCTCTAATCAGAAATATTTTTTCTCTCAGCAGTAATGATTTTGACATTTATCTTGGAGTTTCAATAAGACTATACTTTGAGGGAATTTCAAAGTAATCATATGCAGGATGCATTCACTTGTAAATCCTTTGTTTAAAAGAAAATGATTAAATTGTTCCTGCATTTGCTATGATACCCTTTTGATTTAGATATAATAATGTTATATGTTAAATATTTAATGTTTGTAAGCCACCCAGAGTTACCTCTATGCAAGATGGACTGCAAATGAGTCTAATAAATACTTTTAAAAATTATTGCTAAAATATGTAACTAGAAAGTGTAGAAGCCATGCACATTATGAATCAGGCAAAGTAAGATAATATCTCCATGATTTTACTTAAGATAATTTACGTGAATGTCCTTTTTTGCTTATTCTAAACAGTTCTATTTACAGTATTAATTTCTAAGGAGCTACGCTAACCTGCCTATTTGCCCCTCCTGTCCCATGAACTACTGAAGGGAAGGAGATCTGGACCATTTATAGACCTCCTTTAAAAGTTATGCTTTGGAATACCCCAGTATTAATCAGGCATTCTAATCACAGTGATGTTTTTTCTATTACCTTTTTTTTTAGGCACGACTACAAAGAGGCCATCTGCTGCTTAAGCAGGGGAAGTTGAATGAAGCTGTAGAAGATTTTGAAGGCGTGGTAAGTGAAGTGCTTTCTCAAGGCGTGATTGAAGTAGCAGCTGTGATAAAAGAATATTAAGCATTGAGCAGGAGACCCTTATACCATTTTAGACAAATGGCGTCTTTTCTTAAAATCCTTCAGTGATGAAACACCCACAACTTCTGAAGGCAAGCCGTTGCACTGATCAATTGTTCTCACGGTTAGGAAATTTCTCCTTAGTTCTTGGTTGCTTCTCTTGATTAGTTTCTATCAGTTTCTTTCCTTGCCTTTTAGTGCTTTGGAAAATAGATTGACCCCCTCTTCTTTGTGGCAGCCCCTCAAATATTGCAACACTGCTATCATGTCTCCCCTAGTCCTTCTTTTCACTAGAATAGACCTACCCAATTCTTGCAACCATTCTTCATATGTTTTAACCTCCAGCCCCCTAATCATCTTTGTTGCTCTTCTCTGCACTCTTTCCTGAGTCTCAACATCTTTTTTATATTGTGGTGACCATAATTGGATGCAGTATTCCAAGTGTGGTCTTACCAAGGCCTTATAAAGCTGTACTACCGGTATCACTTCGCGTGATCTTGATTCTGTCCCTCTGATAATGCAGCCTAGGTTGTGCTATTTCCATACAGCACACTTTTATAGTATTGCATTTAGAAAAGAAGAATTTATTATCGATACAGTTGATAAAGAGATTTTGCTTTGTCATGAATTTTCTTCAGGTCACTTTTTTTGTTTCTTTGTTTTATTTACTCCTTTATATCTTTTGCATTCCCAGTATTCTCATGCCTAATTTTGATGTGAATATTTTGCACGTACTCAACATTTCTCAATATAAAACAGTCAAAATGGTTCTTCTCCTGATCCTGCCCTTACTGGAGCTCAGAATTCAAAATAAATAATTAGGAAGCTAAAGACTGCTCATTCCACCTTGAAATAAAAAAGAACAGATTATTTTGATTGCCTGTTTAATATTTGTTAAATATTATGCGACTTACTTGGTTTTTCTTAACAGAGCAAATCTTAGTATAGCGAGAAGATATATAAAAGCTTTAATGAGAAAACTAGAATAATATCTTGCTAAATTGCAGCCCAGTATATTTCAGGTACAATTAGACTATTTAGAAAAATAAAATTAAGAAACTATGGATTTGAAAATGGGCGCCCAGCTATTTACTTAAGCTTCCCAGGTGGCAATATTTTAAAAAATACATCATCAGGAGAGAGTTATTTTGAATATATTTCAAAGGGAATTTTTCTATTTGTTTTCAGAGTTGTTTGTAGAAGCTCCATTCCTTATAGAAAAATACGGAGCAGGCCTGCATTGTGTCTTTTATACATCAAAGTCATAATTCAAATGGATTGCCAATTGATCTGCTATGGACTGGCCAGTGCAGGGTTGGTTTTAAAAGGGGGGCAGGGGCTCAGCCTCACAGCAATTGTTAGCTGGCTGGCAGAAGAGTTTCTAGTTGTTTTTTCCCCTTTTATCCCATCACTTGGAGAACAAGAGCTTCTCTTGAGAATTATTCCTACAGCTACAATTGAGAAAACAATCTATTTTGTGCTGTTCCACTAGAGGCCAGCAAAGTTTGTCCTTGAGGGCTAGCTTTATTAAGATTGCATTTCCCCTAGTGTAAAAATGAACAATAATTATTATTTTTCTTTTATCACTCCAATATTTATTACATAAAATGTTATATAATTTATAAATTTAATAATAACAACAATAATAATAACACTATAGAAAAAATAACCACCTGAACACTATTAGCATTGACAAAAACATTAGTCAATTGCAAAAGGCAGCTTTACTTGGGACAGCTTATAACAGTGGTGGCATTCTGAGCCCGCTCTGTGGGCACACATTCCATTGCCCCAGCCTCGCCTCCCCCCACAACCCCCTCCTCACCAGCAGCCTCCCTAGGAGTTGCCCCTGAGCGTGACCCATGCGGAGCAGCGCAGTCAAGGACATGGCAGCCAGGCAGTGTAGACAAGACTCTGCCCTCACGCCCCATCGCGCACAGTTGATGCGGGGCGTGGGCAGAGGGCGTGGCCGCCATGGCACTGCTGGGCTGCCTGGGCAATCTGTGGCGGGCCCTGGAGGTGGTGAGTGGCCCTGTGGGCAGACAGTGTGGGGGCGGAGCAGGGGCAGGGCAGGGGTGGAGCGGGGCCGGGGCCAGTTTTTGGGCACTCGGTCTCTAAAAGGTTCGCCATCACTGGCTTATAACTTGTGATGATACCTCTAACATCATCAGACATCAATATCTGCTTATCCCAGGTGCTTGGGAAGGACTCGATAGGTGGGCACATGGGTCACTTGCCCCCTTGTCCCATGGATTCCTCTCCCAACAGGAGAGGAAGGAAATGGACTTAATTGAATGGCATGATTTATTCTTTCTTTGCCATCCTAAATGTTTTAAGTAACCACTGTTAGCACAAACAGCTTAGTTAAAATGTTTTCAGTCCAGAAATGTTTAGCGTTTTAGTGTACATATGAGCTGCAGTCGTTGACTTGTTCTTTTCCTAACAAATGTAACATAAGCCAGGATTTGGCTATAAACTGGATTTGAAGTTCTGATGCCGTCCCCAGCCCTCTGTAGTCACACGATTGCATTTTGGGTGCTCAGCAATTAGCCCATGTGTATGGCCTTTAACAAGGATACATGTTAAACCAGGGTTTTGAGGGCTTGTTTTTAAAATTACGTGAAGAGAACTGCTTTTATGTTGCTCTTATGAAAGCTTTAATAATTGATAGTAAGCTTTTAGAACTTCATGGACATCTTTTGCTAGCACAATGGACTGTTTAAGTGATGATGCTTCAGAAGGGTTATCAGCTGGGAAATTCCCACAGTACTTTTTTGGGATCACCTAATATACAGTTATGAGGAAATAACTAGAGTAAAAGGAAATTATCTCTGTTTGGTGAAAATCTACTTCAAAATCAGTTCTGCCAATGGGTAGTATATTGAACATAATACTGATGTGTAGTTGATGGTATTGGACTCTTTGGATGCCTAGAAAGTGGATTCTCCTCCTGAATTACCAGGAATTGAGCCATTTAAAGTCCTTAGATCATAACCAATTGCTAAAGGAGTCAGTCTCCAGCCTTCTGTTGTTAGGTTTTTATCTTTAGAGTGGTGAGGGCAAAGTTGAAAGGAGCTTGACAGACACAAACTTTGGTGCATCAAAATGTAAGAGTAGGAATTTGTCATCAAGACCCTGTCTGGCATTAAAATCAAAACTGAATAGGAAATTGAAAGGTCAAGTCTGATGCAAACTCCTCAAATTCCAAGAAATTCTGGTCTGAGAAACCAGTCTATTGCAGGCAGGGGGACATAATTGAAGTTTGGACGAGATCAGAATGGTTTTGCTTCTAGTGCATACCCCCATTCAAATTAGGTGATGTAGGTTTTAAGACCAGTGAAACCAGCCAAAATTTTATTCTTATTCCACACCATGGTTGCACAAAGAGCTCTGACAAATTAAGGGACAAAAAGATCAAATATAAAAAAAAGAATGGAAAGAGGGGAACATAACTAAAACAGAATATCAGCAAATACCCATATCTGCAAGGGAGGAGTCAGGAAAGTGAAGGCCCAGAATGAGCTAAGATAGGCAGGTAATGCCAAAAATAACTGGAAAAACACTTCTTTCAATATGTAAGGAAAGAAGAAAGTCAAGGAAACGACAGGTTCGGTAATAGGAGCAGATGGCAAGAAGGTAAAAGACAGCAGGGAGAAAGCAGAACTGCTTTAATTCCTTCTTTGCATCTGTTTTACATGAAATTAAGAAATAGACCCAAGTATCAAAAGCTGCACTGAGGAAGGTGGAACAGATACCCGTTAAAATAGACAACGAAATAGTAAGAGAATACCTATCCTCCCTGGATAAGTACAAATCACCTGGACCAGCATTCTGAAGAAGCTGGCAGATGTAATCTCGGAGCAACTGGATGTATTTGCTCAAAGCCCCTGTAACACAGGGGAATTACCAGAAGACTAGAAAAGAGCTGATGTGCTAGCAAGCTATAAAAAGAGGAAGAAAATGGATCCAGAAAATTATAGTCCAATCAGCTTGATTGGGGAAGGAAGTGCCTCTTACTTTCTCCTCTTCATCCAAATTGTCCTGCGGTGGCATTTCTCCTCCCTGTGTTCCATCAACCAGGCTAGAGCTGATGTTTCTTCTGGTTAGGGGGAAGTGCCTTTTCCCCTCTCCGCTTCCTCCAAATTGTCCTGTGGTGGCAAGTTATCCCCACGTCCAGTTGACTGAGGTGACTCATCCTGCATCCAGTCGGCTGGGTCAACCTGCTGCGCCAACCCTCCTGCGGTGAATTGTCCCCTTCCAGGAGCAAGACATTTGAGCTTGTCCAGCCAAGAAATTATACATTCCTCGTGCAGGCAAATGGGCTGCATCTGGTCTTGAGGGAGTCCTAGACTGGGAAATTACAACTAATGGCTTTGCTTTGTTCTGGGTTT